ATACCGTGAAAAACTAGCTCGGATGACTTCACATCATGACACTTGCCATAAAAATCAATCAATCCATTTAGAACGGAAACATCCACACCATAACCGCGTCGAATCACATTTCCATGCAACTGCATACCAAGCCTTAAATACAAGCCATCGGCACAAGCATTCAAAAATGCACAAAACGTAATGGAGTTTGGATGTTCATCACCCACCAGTAAAAGCTCAATAAACTTCCTAACAGCATCTATAACCCTTCCCTCAAGTACAGCATTAGAAATACACGCGTTCCAAGTTGCAATATTTCTCTCCGGCATTTCCTCAAACACCTTGTCTGCAAGATCCCTAGTCCCCGTTTTGCTGTACATATCAAGAGCACTGCATCCAACAAAGACGTCCAAAATCAAGCTAGTCTTAATCGCCAGTGCGTGAAGCTGCTGGCCGACGGAGCTCGAATTGAGAAAAGCCGACGCTTTGAACAGGCAAGGGAATGTGAAGTCGTTAGGCTGAATGCCGTCGCGGCGCATGTTACAGAAGAGGGAAAGACCGGCGGCGAAATGGCCATTTTGGACGGCGCCGGAAATGAGGGCAGTCCAGGTGACGACGGAGCGAAAACGGGCGGGCGCGAGCGAGAGGAGGCGGTGGGCGGAATTGAGGCGGCCGAGTTTGGAGTACAAGTTGATGAGGTGGTTGGAGATGAAGGGAGGGGGAGGCGATTCGAGGGTTTTGATGATCTGAGCGTGGACTGCTTGGCCTAGGGGGAGAGACCGAGTCGAAACGGCCGATTCGACGAGCGAGCCCAGGGCATTGGCGGTGAGGAAGGACATCTATTCATTGCTTCTGGTTCCTGGGTGGCGGCGACTTATGACATGGGGCTTTCACTAGGGGATGGCAATTGGCAAGTATTTGTATACCATATAGCCCATTAAGGGCCTATTTAGAAATAGATTAGTCTTATCGTTTAAAAAACACTATCTACAGGAAATATTTTCAAATTAATCTGTAACATTGAAATTTTATTAAAAATACTAATGCTAATCCCAAACGCTATTTTCAAACAAGCCCTAATATTCATTTGGAAATAAGAGATTGTGCTCTTTGCTACTCGTAAACACTTCATAGCGACGTCTTTACGCTCGATGTCGCCGCATGTTTCTCTTCGTCGCACCTAGAATTTTGTTGCACCTAGATTTTCGAGTGTCGATTGGCTCGTCTTCCTTCGTCATTGCCTGCGTATGTGCCCTCCCTTCTCCATGCGTCCTTTTGTCATTTCAGCCATCGACTATCCCAAAGACTGGTAACGGGAATGAAGGGAGCAGAGGTTGCGTCTATTGAGGATGAAGTCGTGCATGGATAGAGAGCGAATGGAGCAGTGACATAACTACAAGCAAACGGCGATCATGAACGGAAATGAAGGGAGCACAGATTGTACCTATGGATGATGAAGACAAGCATAAATAGAGGGTGAATCTATTTATGTTGTGTATTTAATATGAATGAGAGTTATGCTACTCATGAATGTATATTTTGTATAATTGCAAACAATATTATGTTGATGGTAAATGAGTATTGAAATTTTAAAAAATGAGTATGCGAAAATGAACTGTGACAAATATGTATTACTTAGTGCTTGGGGCATGTGGTATGGCTATATGGGGACATGATTGTCGACGTTGCACGGGGACCTAGCATGACACCACGCCAGAGAAGCGTGACCCATATGGGGGCAATGGTGGTCACCCAGTGAGAAGAATTATGTTTTTTTTTAATTTTAACCAATCATAATTTAATATACATTTAAATCAACTAATCAATATAATTTACACACCCATATTCCATCGCTCTTATTCTTATTTAACTTATTGCCCCATTACTCATATTTGTACCCATCATATACTCTTTTTCGTCTCTAAATGAGATTAAATGTCAAGTTTTTTTTAATTTAATTTATTTAAATACTTTTTGTTTAAATATTAGTATAAAAATAAAAACAAAAATTTACATATTTAAAACTACATAAAAAATTATTTAAAATAAAAAATATCAAAAATATTCTATTTTATCAAATAATCAATGAAAAATATAAATTAAAAAGGGAAATTTTTCCAAAATAATCCCAACTTTCACCCGTCTTCCAAAAATAATCCCAACTTCTCTCTTTATTTATAATAAGCCTAACTTCTTTAATTTTTATCCGTTTTGGGCCTCCGTCCAAACCCTAACTCTGCCTTAACGGGAATTTGACTTGGCTGTAACACGGTGGATATTTACGGTGCCATGTAATTATCATCGATAAAATGTCAAAACGCAGAAGACACCAGCTTGAACCCTAATTGGAACCGACGTATAATCGCCTCAATTGAAGGCTTTCTCTCACTGCCTGAAGCTAAGGGTCAAAACGCAGAAGGTTTCGCTGGGCACAAATAGTAGGTAAAACTTAACAATTCATTGCAGATTAAATTTCTTGTGGCTGAAATTTGGTTTCAATTTCAATTCATTGCAGATTATTTGACTTGTCCGATTATTTCAAGTTGGTGCATCAATCTTTGGAAGGGAGAAGCAGAAGTATACTTGTAGTGCTCAATGGGGTCTACATCCAAACAGTCACCATCCTCGAAATGTAACTTCTATTGCAAAAAGTGTAAATCATACACGGAGGTTGAAATCAAAGTAGCCCAGACAGCAAAGAACTTCATGAAGCCTTACTATGCTTGTGTCAATTGCAGTCAGTGGTTATGTTGGAAGGATGCTCTTGAGCGAAACACAGATGCAGAAATAGAGGGCTTTGGTCAAAGCATAATCCATGGGTCTCACAAGACACCAACATGGGAAGAGGTGAGTGCATTGCGTAATGATAACAATGATCTAAATTCGGTTGTGAATCAATTGAAGGATTTGGTGCCTGTTTTGTTGAAAGATGTATCAGAACAGAGACATGAAGTCAAAAGTTTGCTCCAAAAGAATGAAGAATGGTTGAAGATTGGAGTTCTCATGTCTGTGGCAAACTTTTTTATCCTTGTTATTGTGTTAGCAGTGATAAAAATAAGTTGAGATTTGTATTTGGATGTGTTGTATGATTTGAACATCGAAGGGTATGTTTCTGGCAGTGTTATGACATTCAATAATTTATGAGTTAGTGGTATTGTTTGATTTGGATGATATAACGAGTACATATGTTCCCCACGTCAATATTTTTAACTGTTTAGGTGGAATTACCCTAACATGTTTTTTAGTACAAGTACGTACTGGAGTTGCTATGACTCTTTACTAACGTTCAATCGTAAATTGACTTGGGTTACGGGTGGTTTAAAAAATGTCGTGAATTGACTTGGGTTACATAAGTTGTTTCTGCAAACCCCTCAAAACTCCAACCGCTGTCTGCAACTGGATGAGCCAAAAGCTGGGGCGAAAATCATTGGCAAACATAGCCAATATAAAACTGCCTCACAAAAGAAATGCATCTCATATTTGACCTTTTATGTTCTTAATTGTGTGACTCGGTAGTGCACTCAATCCAGAAAAATGACAGTTTCCATACTGTCCAAAACATGCAACAGAATGTCCAGCAACTCGGCAGTGCACTCAATCAAGAAAGATGCAACTCGGGTCCGTTATATGGTATTGTTTGAACCACACATATAGTACACAAATGTCATTACTAAACATTCAAAACAATACAAATAGGATTACATCATTGAGTTTAAACAACCAAACATGTTTAGCACTAAGCATTACTAAACATCCAAAACAATACAAATAGGATTACATCATTGAGTTTAAACAACCAAACAATACAACTGGTGAGGCCATTCAGTGAGCACTAAGCATTACATCATTGAGTTTAAACAACCAAACATGTTTAGCTTCAGCTTCATCTTTATCCTGACATTGGCTGTGGTTCTTGCGAGCCTTGAGCATGTGAGGGCATAACGTTTGATATTCGTACGGGTTGACTTTGTCCAGGTGTGTTGATGTACGTTCCTTCATCACCTTCATTGTGATAAACACCATATCCAGCAGGCATCTATGAACATATAATAATTAGTAACATATCAAATTTCAAAGATGCATATTCCATAAAATTAGCAAATAGTAGTTTACAGAAAGCAAATGAACTTACTGATGTACTTTTTCTCCTCCCTCTACCACTCACTTGCCTACCCCTGGAACCTCTTCCCCTACCTCTAAGTGATGGTTCAGTAGTTCTATTGTGCACACTTGCTTGTAAACTTTCACCAAGTTGTTGCATATTTTTTCTCGGTCTTCCTCGTGGTCTCTTCATTGAAACTTGTGTTACTTCAGAAGTAAGGTCGTCTTTTTTTGGACAAGTTCTCTTGTTATGCCCTTTGTTGTTACATATTTTGCAGGTCATCTCAACCCCATGCCTTGTCATCTTACCTGGTTTTTTAGGATCTTCGTAGGGATCTTTGACTCTATTCTTTCGAGGTCTGCCAGGTCCTATCTTAATAGGTGGAGGGTCCAATGGTACAACCGCAGCTTTAGGCCAGTGTTTCTCACCAACACATGGAAGTATGCTGTGTTCATATGTCTTCATATATGAGCTCTTTGAGTAGAAATCATCAACATAGTCCTCAGGTTTGTGGTTCAGGAAATAAATGCAAGCCGTAGCATGATGGCATGGAATCCCAGTCAAGTCCCACTTTCTACATGTACATGTCTTGCTATCAAGATTTACAGAAACATCATCAAGTTTATCCCTTACTTGGAAAATCCTAAGTGATGATGGCATGACTTGACAATGGTGAACCAAATTTTTTTCCTTCTCCAGTTTATCTTGGATTCTAGGGCAGATATTTTGAAGATTCCCAGCACCAATTGCCCTTTTACTAGCCAATCTTTGCATCAAAGATATCCTAATATCCTCTAACATATCTATCACATGTTTGGCTCTAGCTTGTATGATATATCCATTAAAAGTTTCAGCCATGTTATTGACAACCACATCACATTTAGTTTTAGTTTTTGCAAAACACCTACAAAAAGTTTTTGGGTTTGCATTGAGAAAAGCATTGGCAGCAAGATCTGAGACCTTCTTCATCTCATCCAAAGCAACATTATAATCAGCCTCAGAATAAGCCCTAGTTGCCTTCCAGAATAGCCCCTTTAGCTCATCACCCTTAAAAGATTTGTGCCAGTTTGCAAAAATATGTCTAGCACAGTTTCTATGTTCTCCCCTGGGGTAAACCTCAGCAACGGATTTCAACAAACCCTAATGCAAAATCAAAATGAATATAATGGGTGCCGATTCAGTTATGAAAAAAACAAATTGAATATAATTTTTCAGATATTAAAAACCTAAATATTAATAATATACCTTTTGTTGGTCAGACATAAATGTCCAGTCTTCACCAGACTCACCATCCAGACTTCTTTTAAGTTGATTCATAAACCAGCTCCAAGACTCATTATTTTCCCCCTCAACCACAGCCCAAGCAATAGGGAACATCTGATCATTAGCATCTCTACCAACAGCTGTCAAAAGCATTCCGCCAAGAAAAGTTTTTAAAAAACAACCATCAAGACATATAACCTTTCTACATCCTGCCAAGAAACCTTTTTTCAAAGCCTCAAAGCACACAAATAGTCTTCTAAATTCAGGGGCACCGACTTGAACTCTATGTATGCCTTGACCTTTCCATATGTTTCTGACTGCAAGCTTAAGGATGGTGTTAGGACAAGATAAATGTAATGCTGCCATATATATAGGTAACTTCTGGTAGTGCTCCTTCATTGACCCATGCAGCATTTTATGTGCCCACCATTTAGCTTTATATGCCACGCACCTTGTGATGAAGTACTTGAACTTCTCTTTAACAGCATCTTGTATATCTTTTGCAGGCCAATGTGGTTTGGATTTGAAAACATCCAAAAATTCTTTTGCTATCCATTTAGAACCAAGTTGACTATTATTTTTCATGTCTCTATGACAAGTATGTGTAATAGCCACTTTTTTTACCACATACACACCCTTTCTAGAATGCCAAGAACCAACTATTTCAAATGGACATCCTTGAATACATCTCGCACCCAATCTTTCATTTCTATTTTTGTTGCTAACATTAAAAACAAGGTTTCTGCCTTGAAATATTCCATACCTTCGAACTGCATCCCTAAACAATTCCCTATTAGGAAACCTCATTCCTGGTTGCCAAACTAACTTTGAGAAATCAGTGTGTGCATCAATAATGGGGGCTGACTTTTTCCTTTTTTTTTTTCACGAATGTCATCCTCCTCACTCTCTCCCGGGGTGTTAGCATACTCATCAGAATCCTCATACTCTGATACAAGATCCCGGGCTTCTGTAGTAGCAGCTCCTAGGGTTGGATTTGGAGTTTGTATAATGAAATTAACAATTCCATCCACTTTTGCATTTTCTTTGTCATGCCAATCATTGAACTTTCTTCTAGCATCCCTACACTCCTCATCATCAGTGTCACTGTCAGACCCTAATAGTACCTCATCATTAGGCATCTCCTCTTCTAAATCTCTCATAATAGTATTTGAAGAAGACCCCAATATCTCATCCTCAACACATGTCTCAATTCTATTCCCTTTATTAAGCCCGGTCAACTCTTCAGTGTCTTCCCCTTCTTCCTCTTCATCGTGTGAATCTTCCTCTGAAATGTCAAGTTCTGTGGACTGAACCATTTCTTCTTCAATAAAATGAGATGGGCAGAATGTAGAAATACTGAAAGCCTTCATAGGAATTTTACTCTGTTGAATTTTGTCAACAACAGGACTAGTATCTCTTCTATTTTGGTTTGAAGCACAAGCAGAAAAATTTTTAGTCTGGTGCACAACATATAAACAAATAACATTACCACTTTCTTCTCCATCTGTCACCATTTCAATTGTCTCTTTGTCACCATATATTCTCTTCAGCCCTTTACCCAAATCACAGCCTGGCTTTGCATAATACAACTCAGTAACAGGAGGATAATCTCCACAATCTTTTGCCCAATCAAGAAGATCAAAATAACCAATTTTATCTGGATCTACATCGTCTAGAACACAGGTGTTACCTCCGACATACTCTATAGTCCGTCCATGATTCAAATTTCCACCATAATTGTATATGAGTTTCATCTGAAAATTCACAAAGAGTGAAACCTGGGCTTCTGCGAGAGAGAAATCTTCTGCGAGAGAGAAAGCTTCTGCGAGAAAGCTGGTGTCTTGGAGCTAAGCAATTGTACGGGTTTCCAATTAGGGTTCTGCATCTAATGGCAAGCATGTCTTCGATGATAATTACATGGCACCGTAAATATCCACCGTGTTAAAGCCACGTCAAATTCCCGTTAAGTCAGAGTTAGTGTTTAGACGGAGGCCCAAAATGGATAAAAATTAAAGAAGTTAGGCTTATTTTAAATAAAGAGAGAAGTTCGGATTATTTTTGGAAGACGGGTGAAAGTTGGGATTATTTTGGAAAAATTTTCAAATTAAAAAATAGTCATGATTATTGAAAAAGAAAATCCCCACGGAGCACTCACATTAGTACTTAGCTGGCGGGCGGTTCTAGCCTAAAACCCTCCTACAATGTCGTCTTCACCAACGATCCACCTCCAGCACCAGTACCCACCACACCTCCGCCGTTAAATTATCGCTCGCCGTCGCCTACCAGCACGCAAATGAATTGTGCGGCCACCGCGCCCTTTGCCTCCTCAGCTATCTACATCCATCCGTCCCCCACTTTCCTAAGTCACTCTAACAACAAGCTCCGCACCAGGAAACTTACAGTCAAGGCATCCCCAAAATGCAACGAATCCCGAAATTTGTCTCGTGTTCGGTTAAGTAAGTCGCGTTTCCGAAACCTAGAATCGTCATCTTTTAACGTGATTGGGAGAAACTCATCAAGCACATCTCTTTGTAATAATGACGAAAATTTGCTCAATTGTATTGTGAAGCCAATTGTGTACGTAATATTCTGTATTGGGCTTGGGATTTTTCCCATTGTCGGGTTTCGGGTTCGACCAGCTGTTGCCGCACCTGCATTGGTCACTAAGCTATTTCGGATCGCACAAAAGGGTGCCAAAGGGAAAAGAGGCGAGATAGAAGAGAAGGGCCATGAGTACTCACATTGTACTAAGAGCTTGCTAGCTAGTGTTTCCCAGTTACTTAGTGCCGTAGAATCGGTGAACTCAGGAAAATGTAGTACAGACGTTCTGTATGAGGGGCTAGATGCTGTGATAAAGACGAGGGAGGAGTTGCAGAAGCAGATTATGGGTGGGTTATATGAAAAAACGAAGAGCTTGATAAAAGAGAAAGCTGTATTGGTCCAGCAGAAGAATGAGATTCTCAAATTCTTGATGAAAGCAAATGGGGAAGGAAATAGTTTGGCAAGGAAGGCTGAAGGGAAAGATGACGAGATTATCAAGAATGAGGAGGAGTATAACAGGCTCTTGATAGAAATTGACCAAATTGATGATGAGATTTCCAGGAGAGAAGCAGCAGCACTGAACATTGGCATGAGAGAGTTATTGTCAATTGAAGGGGAATGTGTGGCTTTGGTTGAGGCTGTTTTGGAGAGGATTAAGACGTCAAAGAGTTCAAGGTAAATGCACCATGTTTACTGTTCAAAGCATTTGATTTCCAAGTTGTAATCTTGGGCTTTGTTCTTATTCTTGTTTAACATGCTCCATGATTTTGCACTTCTTTTTTTTCTGTAATGAAATTCTTAAAGGAAGAATAATTTCAAAATGTTGTATGGATTTTTTTTTGGGGGGGGGGGGGTTATTTGAGATAAAGTTGGTGGTATTTTTTATGGCAGTGCTTTGTTTTTGGTTGGCTGATTTATTCGTAATATTGAAGGACATTAAACACAGATTATAATTTGTTTCACTAGACTGATTACATTTCTTGCAAACTCATATAGAAATAGTGGAACTCATGAAATCTTACAATGGAATTTGTTTATTTCTTGTATTGAAATATACAAAACATAAAGCATACTATAGTCTGCATACTTTGTACTAAACTTGGTTCCTTATGAAGTATGCATCCCAGCCCTCTGACCAAGCTTACCAGATCCGATATAAGAGATGAGCTCCTACAGTCACAAAGACAGTTACAGCAAGAGAGAGTTTTTCAAAATATTCTGGAAAATGAGTATATTGGATTTGATGAAGAGACAGTTGGTCCTGCTCGGCGTATAAAGCAAGTTCTTCAGGAATCCCTTGAAATGCAAAACAATGTTGAATCTCAAATAAGGCACAGAATGGCAAGATATGGTGACGAAAGTAAGTTTGTTGTAAACACACCTACTGATGAAGTTGTCAAGGGTTACCCAGACACGGAGTTAAAGTGGATGTTTGGAAAGAAAGAAGTTGTTGTTCCAAAAGCAGTTGCCATTCACTTATATCATGGCTGGAAGAAATGGCGTGAGGAGGTTAAAGGAGACATCAAAAGAAACTTGCTGGAAGATGTTGACCTTGGTAAAAAGTATGTTGCTGAAAGGCAGGTAATTGTTCTGTTAAGTTTCGTTTTATGACTAAAAAGAGACTCATACACAACAAAAAAAAAAGTAAAAGAAAGAGACTGTCATACTCTTTGAAATTTTGCCAGGAACTTAGGATGACATCTTACTATTCCGTCTTTTCTCTGTATTTATTTGAAATTGTCATTGACCAATTTTGATTTGGACCACAAGACTTAATATGGCATTCCACTCTCTGTCCAGCATTGCTGGAATTGTTTTAATTGCTATTGTTATTTATTTTATTTTGACAATGAAATAGCCTCATAATTCTTTACTTTATTTAAAAAACCTCTAAGTATACAACTACAAGTTTTAAAATGTAATGAGTAGTCTTCCTAGGTGTCATTCACGTTCCAAGTTCATTTGAATACACAAAATTCTGTGATTTGATATCTTTCTTGTTCTCATTTTTTATTTAGATACTTTTGGGCCCTCAGTTGATATCTATACTTGTCAGATTCTTGTCTTTATTAAGTCAGTCCCAGCCTCAGCATTTAAAATAATGCAAACATGCTTTACAGTGTCAGAGTGGATTAGTGGAAGACAAGAGATTTTTTCCCTCATTTCTTAGTTTCAGGAAGGTTACTCTTAGTTGAAGTCAAATCACAATGTCACAGGAATGTGTAAAGATCATTTCATTCGGCCCTGATTATTTTCTTTGTGTAAGTTCACTTGAGGCTTTAGACACTGTGATCTATTCGCAACCCGTGTATACTAGCGACACACAAAAAAGACTGCTGGTGTGCGCCAATGGTGGAACACAATTTAGGCATATTCTTTCATTTTTTTTAAATTTTTATCCTTAATCTGTGTTTGTGTTTCTGTTGGGGCTTCTTCTTTTGGAAACTCTATTTAAGTTCAACTCTTTCAATTATTAAGACAAGTCTTAATAAATATAATTAAGATAAAGGTAACTTGTTGTAATAAAAAACCCTCCTTTACTTTTTTTCCCTTCCCGTTCTTCATTTCTGCCAAGTTTCCCCCACCCCTGGTTAGACACTTCCCAGTAGCTGCAGGAAAATTGTAAGCAACATGGACTCCCCTTCTTCTTCAGTGTCTCAACTTCATCTGTTAATCGAGTTGCCCTGTGAACATATCATGCTGCATTTCATGGCCTATACAACAACAACAACAACAACCCAGTTAAATCCCACAAGAGTAGGGTCTGGGGAGGGTGTGTGTACGCAGACCTTGCCCCTACTCGAAAGTAGAGAGGCTGTTTCCAAAGAGACCCCCGGCTCAACATCGAAAGTTGCAGTGTTTGACTAACTGCTACTTCATTGATTAAAGAAGCGCAGATAGTTTAGAGATCCATTTTGATTTATTCCATCACACCCCAAAGCCAAAAATGGTGAAATTTTGACTCCATCGGAGATGATGGAAAGATTTTAGAAGAAAATTATCCCTTAAAGGTCGTATCCATTGGCTGATCGTATAACAGACTTGTTGCCTTGCTGGTGCTAGTACTAATGCATGTAAATTGGAGCTTCCGATAGATCATGCGACATTTTTTTCCTGACCAAGATAGATGGAAGTGCAATATTTAATACCCTCTTTGCTTTACTTACAATGTTGGGCACTGCTGGATGTTTCTTCACCCAACAATAAAATGCAGAAAACCAAATAATTCCATGGTTTGTATTTGAGATTATAGGATTATACCGGAGTATAGATTTTTTGTCTTTGTTTATGATTGTATTTGTGTATATGATAGTATACGTGACATCAAAAGCTTATTCATAAATGAATCTATTTTAAGCTTATATCTATACACACACACACACATATAGAGGTAGGTAGGTAGGTATGTATGTATGTATGTATATATAGGGTGCGGTTGAGGTGAGAATGGTCCTTACTAGAAATGAGAATGGTGCACTTTAGGTCCACTGTGATGCATTTTACACTTGTAGTAGTGCATTTTCGGTATTGATTGAAAAGTTCAATATATTTACAAAAATGTCACTGCAATTTTTCTTCTTCTTTTTTTTTAGATTTTTGGTTTTTAATAGCCCTTAGATCTTAAATCTAATGGATCATATGCATTCTCACTTCTTTCGCTGTGCAACATTCTCATTTGAACCAAAGTATGTATATTATAATATTATATATTGATTGGTTTAATACTTTACTTTAGGAACGGATTCTTCTAATCAGGGATAGGGTGGTGTCGAAGACATGGTACAATGAAAAAAAACATAGGTGGGAGATGGATCCAGCAGCTGTTCCTTATGCCATATCCATGAAGCTTGTTGCGAGTGCTAGAATAAGGCATGATTGGGCTGTCATGTTTATTAATCTCAAGGGGGATGATAAAGAATATTATGTTGATATTAAGGTATAGTGCTCTATCTATGTCTCAGTTCTTTCTCTCATTTCTTATTTTTTTAAATTTCATTTAATCTATACCAGGAATTCGATATGATTTTTGAAGAGTTTGGAGGCTTTGATGAATTGTATCTCAGAATGATATCTTCTAAAATCCCAATAGCTGTTCAGCTGATGTGGATTCCTTTCTCTGAGTGGGGGTTTTATCGAACATTTATGATGGTTGCACATCTTTTTAATCAATGCTTAGCATTTTTCTGGAATAATGACTTTGTTGCACATAGAATGGAATTGGTATGGAGCAAAGTCAGTGTTACAACTGAAGACATAATGATGATGATTGTTGTTCCAGTTTTGGAGTTTGTCATTCCTTACCCGGTATTTACTCTAAACAAATAAATCAAAATCTATTTCTCAAGAAACTAGAATCCAATTATTCTTCAATTGTCTAAAACAGGTACGGGCACGTCTGGGTATGGCTTGGCCTGAGTATGCAGATCAAAATGCATCCTCTTCGTGGTACCTGATGTGGCTGGCTGAGGCTGAAATGAATTTTAGATCAAGAAAGGAGGATAATTTTTGGTGGTATAGCTTGTTTTTAATTAGAACGGTAACATATGGGTGTGTGCTGTATCTTGTGGTTAGCTTTATGAGCAGGAAAATTTCGGAAATCCTTGGTTTTGGGCCTATTCGAAGAAATCCAAACTTCAGGAAGTTGAGGAGAGTGGTATAATTACGATCCTTATTCTCACTAAGGCCTGTTCTTTTGGGTTGGAAAAATTTTAGTTTCAACTTTTTCCAACTCTTTCTAGTTTTTTCTAACCCCTTCTAGTTTTTTCCAACAACAACTTAAACAATTATTTAAGTATGATGAATGTACAATAACATCATATATCCAAGTTTATAACATACCACCTCAAACACGGACAAAGATGAATTCTTTTTTTATCCAAAATTAGCTATCTTACATATTTATTTGGGTGATCATTTAATTGAATATTTTTTTACACTATTTTTTCCAACATTTTCTACCTCCTTCCAATTTCTTCCAACTCCTTCAAGTTTTTTCTAACATTCAACTTTAGAATTCTAACCGAAAAGCGGAGGCCCTAAATATCTTAAGTTACTTAACTTGTGCCATATTTAACTTCCAAAAGTGTCTCTTATCACAAGTCCTATGAATGTAAGTGTATAAGCATCAGTAATTCATTATTATGAAGACTCTTGCTATACATAGAAGTGTTTTAGTCTTACCCATAAGCATAGATCAAGCATATAAACTAATAAACATTATCAGTTCATTATTATGTAGAGGTAGTATAATTTTCAGTTTGTTACCATATCAAGCATAGAACTTGTAGTTTATCAATTTTGAATGCCATTGAAGAAATGCTACATTGTGGATAACATTTTGATTTGTTTTTGTTTTCATAATATCCTGCAGAAAGCTTATTTTGATTATAGAACAAGAAAAATAAAACGTATGAGGAGAGCTGGTGGTATTGATCCAATCAGCACGGCTTTTGATCAAATGAAGGTTCTTTTTGTACGGAGCAGTTTTTCAATTGGAATATTGACGGATCAAATTTTTTAAAGATTGTTTGTCTTTTGCCAGAGGATAAAGAATCCACCAATAAGGTTGAGAGACTTTGCAAGTGTTGAGTCTATGAGAGAAGAAATCAATGAAGTGGTGGCATTTCTGCGAAATCCACGTGCCTTTCAAGAAATGGGAGCTCGTGCTCCTCGGGTATGTGTTTGCATGAAGTACCTGACAGATGTATTTTTTTTTAATAATTTGATTTTTTCTTTTCTTGAAGTGAAATGAGAAAAAATTACTGAACGAGAACTATACAAGTATAACTGGGTTACCCAGTAGTACAAAATTCTTACATGGACCTATCATCCATCAGGCAAGGGAAGTGATCATACAAAACCTCTAGGAAATAGGTTTTTGTTTTACAGATGATTTGATTAGTGGAAGGCAAAATACTCCCACATTGAGCAAAAATGTTGTCATACTTCTTTTCTTATCACTTGAATAACATTACTTTATACTAGCAATGAACATCAGAGAAGGCCGTTTAAATATGGAGCCAGATACAAAGAGAAAAACCTATTCCCCATTTCACCCTCTTTTGGAGACTTAAGTCAGGCGGACTATAAAATTAAGAAAAACAAAAGATAAATATCCTACTATATTCATCAGTGTTTGGTGCTCTACAAAAGATAATTCACAACACTGCTTTACAAGAGAATACATCAACATCCCCCTCAAGCTAGTGCATATACTCTATATGTACCTAGTGTGTACAAATGTATGCTCGTTGGGGTCTTCTAAAAGATTTGGTAAAGATATCTTCAAGATGATCACCAGATCCGACGGAGAACTTTATCTTGTATGAAATGGCAGTCAATCTCTATCCATATTTCTTTCTTCCCATTTTCTTTTTTGGGCCGTCCTATATTTTTCTTCCCTTTCCTTAAATGGAAACACTATTTACCTTGTTTACAACTAAAAGACTACTTTTCCCTTACTTTTGCACTATTCACCTTTTTTTTATATCTCTCTCTGAGGGCAAAAAGGAAATTTTCAAATGCAGCAGCATGCTTCTCTTGAGATGAACATGAGCCTATACATCTTTTTTTCCTTATTACTGAGCATGATATATCTAGATCACGTAAACGATCATAACTTGAAGTGTTTTTTTGTTTTCTACTTTAAGTGTTATTTGATCATTTGTGTTGTTTTTTTGCTTGTTTTTGTTGCTTTATGTCTGACATTATATATGATGCCATAGGGTGTTCTTATTGTGGGTGAAGGGGGAACTGGGAAGACCTCTCTTGCACTGGCGATAGCCGCAGAATCTAAGGTTCCAGTTGTTGAAGTTAAAGCACAACAATTGGAGGGTGATTTGTGGGTTGGACAGAGTGCATCAAATGTTAGAGAGCTATTTCAAACAGCACGTGATCTGGTAGTTATCTCTACTCCTTTATTTATGATATACGGAGTATCATCTAAGTTTGAGCAAACTAGGGTGTCTTTGAGCTCATCTTCTTTAGAGTTCTAAGTTTCAAGCTCGGTGATTTACTTACAAATCATTGAACATTTTTGTCAAGGTGGCTTTGTTAGTTTTCACTTTGTTCTTTACTTCTTTCAACCTTGTTTCAAATCTTTCAAATTTGAACACTATTGGAGTGGATGTACTCAAAAACTACTGCTGAGTATTTATTTTAGCATGTCCTGACTGTAACTAACCCTGATTTTGCAATGTCATATTTCTTGTTGACTGAAAAAGGAGAATTGTTAATGTTACTCTAGGCTTTAGCTGGGAGGAACCGGTTTATATGCACGTTGACTAGTGATGAGTAATATAGAAACATTTGACAACTATGTCAAGTGTTGTTGGTATATGCTAGAGTTAGGTGCTCTCTACTTTTATGTAATACTTCGTATTCTTTTCTAATAGTTTTGTACTCTACAAGATGTATCTGTTATTCAATATGCCTCATATCATCGCAAGACCTTCTAATAGTATTTTCTCTATAGAGAAAGGTTTTCAAATCTGTGTGTTTTTCTCCTCCCCCCTTTGAGCTAAAAGATCACTAAAATACTTTTCCATCTATACTAAAAACCCAAATTATTATTATATATGTTAGCTTGTTTGATAGCATCTTCCACTCTTAGGCACCTGTGATTATATTTGTGGAGGATTTTGACCTCTTTGCTGGTGTCAGAGGCAAGTTTATCCACACCAAGAAACAAGATCATGAAGCCTTTATAAATCAACTTTTGGTGGAACTTGATGGGTAAGTTTTCTTTCATTCATATGTGCCAGTCTGTATGTTCTTGTAGTAAAACAATGATCAAATCTAAGCTAATCTGATTTGCCCATCATCTAAGAGGCTTAGAATTATTTGGTTTGCAAGATTCACATACTCATTGTCTATGTTCGATATCTGCCACCACCACCACCACCATCATAATGGGTAGCGCTTCACAAATTCCCCTTGGTGATTCGCGTAAGACCCACCATGCCGTTCTACCATGGTGGTCCCTGCCACCTGGGAAAGACTTTTAGGTCATGTTTGGTTGATGACTTGATGATAATAAGTTTGGGAAATGAATGGAAATCCTGTGAGTTTTTCCCAGTGTTTGGTTCAAAATAACGTTTTCTTATCTTATTTAAGGGAAAACAAATTTTCCTAATACCATTTAAGAGTGCTCATTTTCATTCCCCTTTTCTTCATATCTTTTATGATAAAAGAAATTATTTCTTTCTTCCTTCCATTTACATTCATTTTCTACTTTATTTGCAATTAGAAAATTATCATAATTTCATGCATGAAATTATATTGCTAGGAATCATTATTTGTGTTATTATGTTAGTGTTTCCATGATTATGCATAGTGGTTTAATGGAACACGTACCACCCTGGCTTGCTGTGGTAGGGTGGCTTTATTTCACTCTAGTTCGGTGTTTTTTCTTAACATATTGTGGGTCACTAGGGACATGATGGAATATTTTATGCAGCTTTGAAAAGCAAGACGGTGTGGTCTTGATGGCTACTACAAGAAATCTTAGTCAAATTGATGAAGCATTGCAGCGTCCTGGTAGGATGGACAGAATATTTCATCTTCAACGACCGACTCAGGCAGAAAGGGAAAACATTCTAAAGATTTCTGCAAAAGAAACCATGGATGAGGAACTCATTGACTGTGTTGATTGGACAAAGGTACTGTGTTTGCATTTGATAGTTGTTTTTGTTATTGAGATTCTAAGAACATTTTTTGTCAAGTGATTGGAAACAGTCATGTTTAAAATTCAATTGGAAACAGTAATGTTTAAACTTACTTCAACGCTTTAACAATCCTTGGCAGGTTGCCGAGAAAACAGCTCTTTTACGCCCAATAGAACTAAAGCTTGTTCCCATGGCCTTAGAAGGTAGTGCCTTCAGGACTAAATTCCTTGATTCAGATGAACTCAGGAGCTACTGCAGCTGGTTTGCTGTAAGATTTCCTCTTCCATCTAGACTATCAAGTGATACTCCAATCCAAGCCTTCATATCATCTTTTCAGGGAACTGCTGTGCCATTACCATCTACTCCCCCAATCCCTAAAAAACACCAGTTTACAATGCTTGGCCAAAGTTATTTTCAAATCAATTTATTTGAATGTTGGTGTAAATTAAAAAATACAACAACATTACCCCAGTGCCTTAAAGGCTCCCGCCCATTGCGGGCTGGGGGGGTTGGGTGTACGCAGACTCCTATGTTTAACACATTGAGCGGCTGTTTCCGAATGACCCATGATGAGCATAGAAAGTTGCATTGACTCTGCTACTTCACTCATAAAGAAGCGCAAACTGTTTAGTGAACCATTTTGCTTTATTTCATTACCCAAAACCAAATAATAGTGAATCTTTGGCTCCATTGGAGATGACAGAAAGTAAAATTTGAAATAAAATCTTAATATTTAGAAACTAAATCAGGATAAGACAATAGGTGACATGACTATTTTATTATAATAAATGATCAACTTAATTAAGTATAGAAATCAGAAATAATTTTACCATTGGTAACTAGGTACAGATATAATTTTACTATTGGGTTTGATCTGGGTCCTCAAAGACTGTAATTTCTGTTGTCAATGATCCGATAACCTTCTCTTTCTAGCATTGTCTTATCAATTTGTGCAATTGTTGAGTCTAACTGTCAATCTATAAAGTTTATATTCTATTGCACCAAATATTTTGTTCCATTTGGTATCTTGCAGACTTGCAGTGGCGTTATCCCCAAGTGGGTGAGGAAAACAAGAATTGCAAAGAGATTAGCCAAAATTTTCATAAATCATCTCGGACTTACATTGACAAAAGAGGATTTGGATAATGTGGTTGACTTGATGGAACCATATGGTCAGATCAGCAATGGAATAGAATATCTAAATCCTCCTTTAGATGTAAGTTATGGTCTTTTATACAATCTTCAATTGGTTCTACTGTATTCATCTATGCTCCAATTTCAATATACCTCTGCCTTTGCTGGTTCGGTATAATTTAGGCGTTAGTGGCTCCTATTTTATTGTAGCTTCTTTCAGACTTTTCATATCTTAGATAGATTGGCATTGCGCATCTGAACATTGTGGTTCCGTATTTGCTTACCTTTCTTTCTTTTTTTTTGGATTTCAACCTTTTTTAGTGGACACGGGAAACAAAGTTTCCTCATGCTGTTTGGGCTGCAGGTCGCAGCTTGATTGCTCTGCTTCTACCCAACTTTGATGTTGTCGATAATCTTTGGCTTGAACCCTTCTCTTGGGAGGTACTTATTTATGTTTCACAGATAAAACTTTTGTGTGTGTGTGTGTGTGTGTGTTTGCGGTCTTATAAGGCATAGTGACTCATTATGCATTCATTAACAAGAATGGTGTCTACCTGAAAGGAATGTTGCACCATAGTAATTTAAGTCTCGAACGGGTTAATTTTTGGATTTCCATAATCAGCCACTATGTCCTTCCCAGGGCTCTTAGGATCACGAGCCTTAGAAAGAAATTTTTATGCTGCATCCAATTACTCCTTGGATAAGGAAACTGGAATTGAATAAGAAACTGACTGTCTTTCCAAACATTGAAGGAAAGTGCAAATGCAGAGGAAATTTAGCCATTTTGTTTCTAAGTTTAAGGCTTCTTGCTCCAGGGAATTGGATGCACAAAAATCACAAAGGCTAGGAATGAAGGATCCATCGATGGAATTGTTGAATCAAGATCATATCTTGAAAAGAAACTTGTATTTTGCTTTGGATCGCATGTTTCAGCTCAGCTGTTGCTTCCATTTGGGGAGGATAATGTTCTTTCTGCATCTGAGTTGAAGCAGGCACAAGAGGTTTGGCCACACCACATTTCTTCATAGAATCTGTCGAATTTGACCCCCAAAAAAGAACTTTTATGATGTTTTGTTTCAGATAGCTACTCGGATGGTGATCCAGTATGGTTGGGGGCCTGATGACAACCCTACGATTTACCACCATGGCAATGCGGTATTCTCTGCTGTTCTTTTTGAACAATCATCTTTGCACCTCGTAATTGAAACTTATATTTTATAATGTATCATATTTCTCTTTCCCATTAAAATATTGTAAATTTACGATATGTCAGTGAGTCAATGCTCACAGATGGGATTCTCTAAAGCAATATCTCAGATTGTGAGGAAGGGTTCTGAAAAGGCTAATGCATTGGAAATAAGATTATTACCTATTGCATAGTTTTGTTCACATTATTCAGGGTAATATAATAACTTCATTATGTTGAATTTGTTGTGTTCTTGAACTTCTCCACAGGCAACAACTTTGAGCATGGGAAACAATCACGAATTTGAGCTGGCAGCAAAAGTTGAGAAGGTACTATCTTCCACGTGAATTACTTTTTTTGTTACTTAGCAATCCTCGAGTGGTTTGTAGTTTTCTCAAAATATAACACTGGAGTCGGTTTGAGCAAAAATAATGTTTCATATTATTTTAGCTTTGTAACGATTTCATCCCTAAGGTGTTGTGTTTCGCCAGTTCAATCATCAATGATTCAAATAAGATTTTGAGTGGTACCTCTCCTCCCCTACATATTTGCATGTAGGTGATCACCTCATGGAATGCTCTCCATAGTAGAAAAGGAAACTCCTTGGAAGTGCAAGGGAAAGAAACTAGAAAATGAAAGACCTATCAGAATCATAGTTGAGACATTCGTGTCTTAAAAACAACCTCTCTACTTCCATGTAGGGGTAAGGTCTGCATACAGTCACCCCTTCACTCTACTTGTGAGGGACCCTACTGGGCTTGTTGATGTTGTTGATTTGAGGTCTTGACTATCAAATTGACATTAGGAAAATTGAAGCAGAACAGCTCAAGTGGTTGGGTGTGAGAGTTGTATACTTGTATCACGAGGAAGAATATCAAAATTTGCTTCATAGTGCTCTCATTAAAAGGTCAATGACTCAATGGACATACAAGTTGATTTTAATATAAGCCTTTTAATTGAAGCTATCTTGATATAATGAGGTGTTTGTATAAAATGTCTAGAACCTTATCTTTATTTATGATAGCTTGATTTGTTTCTAAGGCTTGAACTGATGACCTGGCAATGTTGATACTTTTGTTCTTATAGTGCCTGCCAATCTTAATGAAATGTTTTGTTCAATGAGCTAGTAATTTTGTGCAGATTTACTACCTGGCTTACGAAAAAGCAAAAATAATGCTTCAAAGTAACCGTGGTGTACTTGAGAAGATTGTCGAAGAGTTGCTTGAATACGAAATTTTGACCGGGAAGGTAAGGTGCTTTAGAGCAAGTCCGAAAATACTTCTGATTTCACTCATTATTTGTCCATTTATTATAAAGTATTGCTCCCCCCCCCCCCCCAAAAAAAAGACAATTCTATTTGAAAGAACTACTTCCTTCGTCAACTTAAATAAGGTGGAGTTATTAGAAATTATGTTTGCTCACCTGTACCCTTATAACTTAGCATAAATCATTGGTGAGAGTAATTGGCTAAAGTCGCTTCCTGTAAGAATTTTACCTTAGCAAAGACATTTATCTTTTAAACCCGGGCAACTCTTTTTTTATTACCAAAAGTGTTCTTGGCAAATGAATCATTTTCATGGTGGAGGTATTGACACTTAATTGGCTAAGCGGTGTATTTCTCCCTATTTCATTCCTCATTAATCTTGCAATGTTTTGATAGTAATACCCTACGTGTCCCATAGAAATCGTACTCTGCATTTTTCAATATTTTTGTCCCAAAAAGAGTCCAATGGAAGGAAAATACTATTTATCATTATATTCCATGTTTTTAAAAAACAAAATATGCCAAACAAGGTAAAAGGTAAATAGTTTTAAAATTAGTTAAACCAACAAAAAGCTATATAGTAGCTCCTGTTTGATTATGTTTACTGGTTGTACCTTATTAAAACTAAAGAGTTGTACATTTATGAAATTGGACTCTTGTTATGGGATGGAGGGTGTCGTCTAAATAGAAATATATGATGAATGGATAGAATGAGAAACAGGGCCAAAGATCAAGTTGTTAATGACCAATTTATCTTTAACTTTTGTAGGATAGAAAGTGACTTAATAAAATTTTGGAAGCTCTAGGGAGTCATGAAAAGTGAAATTTTACGTGTGACATTTATTGGGTGATGAAGTAGTCATCCAATCATCTCTATGAATTCTTAGCACGTTATTAGTGTCAATTTTTCATGTCTCTCTAGAAATTTATGAGACTTTATGCTTCATTTTTTCATTTGTAGAGACTAATATTTTAGTTGGCCGTATATGCAATTGCAGGATTTAGAAAGGATATTTGCTAAGAACGGCGGGATAAGAGAGAAGGAACCCTTCTTCCTTTCTAGCACACACTATGACCAGGTATATAACACCCAGGTATGTTGATCCTCCACCCGTGTTTTAAGAATTGTTATATATATGTGATGGACATATCGGGCTCGCTACCAGGGTCCTCGACCTATGGGCCTGGACTAGGAGCCCGCAACAAAGGCCCAAGGCTTTGGACCTAACACCGAGAAGGGAATTCTTGACCACCTTGTTGAGGAACCATGCTAGACTTTTCCGTAGAACGGATAAGATCACATACTACACTAAGGGCAATATTACAACCATGTGTCCTCCCATTAGGGTAAGGCCTAGAGGCAAATATGGACAAAAGGGGTATTGCACCCCGGGCTTCGACCCATGGCCGTACCAAACAAGTGTGGGCTCTGCCGTTATGATAGAAATGTATACCCCTCCACCTGATGGAAGGGGATCAGATTATGATCACTCCATTGCAACATATGCTTAAGCTTTGTCTCTTTACTTTCTGTACCCATTGGTTTAGGATCCATCAATATATCTGAACCTGTCGTACGATGAGGGTGTGTTGCATTATTGCTTATAAACTGTTTTTAACTCATAAGCTGCTTATAAGTTAAATGTTCTTTCATGGAAGTAAAATGACAATGTGAGAAGTCATTTGGAAATATTCATAAAAGGCGAGGATAATTTTGTAAATTATTAGGTCAAAATGGAGAACCAAAAAAACTAACATAAAAATAAGTAAGACCTACTTATTTTTTTGACTTATAACCAACTTATTAGCACAGAGGAACACATTATCAGCCGACTTAAAAATTAAAAACATCATAAGCAGTTCTGGCCAGCTTATAAGAATTGTAAAACACCCACAATATCTAATAATGCTTTAATCCATAGCCACAAATAATAAGCAGTTCTGGCCAGCTTATAAGAATTGTAAAACACCCACAATATCTAATAATGCTTTAATCCATAGCCACAAATAATAAGTCACCCAGTTTTTATTGCTTTAATGCATACCCACAACTAATAAATTGCCTACTTTTTTTGCAGTCCGTACTTGCACATTTTCTAGAAGAAGGCAGAAATGCGTCCCCAAATGCATTTCTAAGTGCGGAAATTTAAATGAAGGAGAGCATACAAATGGTACTGTAGACAATAACACCTCAATGACAGATTTACCCCGTATCTTCCCCAAAGGAGCGACGTGCTTTAGTACTTGTATGGAAGAGAAGAAAGAGCACATACATTGCATTTTTCATCCTCAACTGAAGTGCAACAAGGTTACACCACTACAGTGTGACAACTCTTTGCAAAAATCTTTGTAACAATAAGGCTAAAAGATACACATTTATTAGGAATCTGTATATTTTTAATTCTTTATTGTTGTTGTTGTTGTTGTAACTATGTGGTCATCATGTCTGTGAGACAAGTTGATATAAAAAAATTTTGGATTAAATCATTAATAATTGTTAAAAATAGCAGTAATTGTTGGTTTTTTAAAATAGTTTTTCTTTTCTTTTTTTTAAAGTTGTAACACAATGAAGAGTTTTAATATCAAGTTTACCTGGTGAACCCACAATGGAGCTAGAAGCACAACTCTATAAACATATATATTTCTTTATTCATTTTATTAAGTTGCTTATATGAGGAGGTATGTTTGATCTTATGTCAATGATAGAAAGTTAGAAACATTCTTATATTAAAAATACTTCAAATTTTGATTTTAGTTGCATAACCAATTTATAATTAGCCTTTTATAATATAAGATTTTTCATATTTAGTTTTCTATTATCAAATATTATGATAGTCCTTTTATGGGTATTTTCTATGCATTATTTTTTTCTGTTGTATTGATGTTAATTTGAAAGTTAAAATTTTAATTTCACATTCAGATGTTGGCTTGACGGATACCACAACAATAGTGTGTTTATCTGGACTACGATTGTAATGAAAGACGATACATGTATGCTATGGTTGTTGACGACTTCAATAGACAAGTGACACATCAGCAGCGGCTTTAAGCATTGAGTATGACAAAAAAGATTTATAATCATTGTAAAATTATACTCCCTCCGTCCCCAATTTGATTACAATTTTTTTTCTCTCTCCTCTCGATAACTTTTGTTTGTGTACGCGATTTCATCAAGTATTTGATAAAATAAAATATTCTTGTCACCTCTTATTTTGTAGAACTTTTGACGTAGTTTTTTAATATGTAATTTTTATAACTTATTGATATACCAATTTGTAAATAAAATGATTTCAAAAAGTAGGAAATTTTACTCTGTAACCCGCAATTTGTAATCAAATTGGGGACGGAGGGAGTATTTTTTTAGTCTCTAAACTTATACAAACATGATAAAATGTCAAGAAAAAAACAATCCATGAAAGATGTAATGCAGACGTGACATTTCATAATATATTCCTATTTATAGAAAACCAGTAATTATAAAGGATCAATTATATAATTTATTTTATTTAAAAATTATGCCATAAAATTTTATAGTAGAAAAAAAGAGAACACAAAAAAATTTTATTTTATCAAATAATGATTAAAAATACACAAATGAATAAAAGTTTTTTTAATGTTTGAATAATAAAGTGTGACATTCTTTTTTTTGAAGTGACTATATTAGCATTTGGCTCTCTAAGTGAAAAGACATCGCTACCCTTGGGATAGGATGGATGAGTCGGCTAAAGACATACTCCGTATATAATCAACTGAGTTCTTTTTTCTAAGTTGAGTTTCACTAGGGTTGGCTTCAGTTTCACCGCACCCGATTGCGCGAAGTTGATTCAAATCGAGTATGACGACGGTGGTCAATGGTTCTGTGATTCCGGCGAATCGGAGGAGGGGAGCCATGGAAGATGATAAGCTCACCTTCGAGACCTCAGACGGCGTGGAGCCCATAACCACCTTCGAACAGATGGGCGTCAAAGACGACGTCTTGCGCGGGATTTACGAGTACGGATTCGAGAAGCCCTCTGCAATCCAGCAGCGGGCAGTTCTTCCCATCCTATCTGGCCGTGACGTCATAGCTCAGGCTCAGTCTGGTACTGGCAAGACCTCCATGATTGCCCTCACCGTCTGTCAAATGGTCGACACCAGATCATCCGAGTAAGAATTCTCTAAAAACGAATTTAATTATAATTTGGTTAGGGTAAACGTAGTTTGTTGTTTCATAGTGTTCTGTTTGAGTCATTGGAAAGGTGTAAAACAAAGTTACCCAGAAATTGGTTAGGGTATGCGGTGTTTCTGACTCTGTTAGTCGTCCTCTTGTGGAGACGGAATGCAAAACCTTTCATATGCAGTACAAGTTAACAGATGTGCCAGTTTTGATTTGTAAACACATAAAAATTCTACCTTGCGCCTATAAGAATATCAACTATGGATTTGTTCATCATTGGCTGTTTTAATAATATGATATACGAAGTATGGAACATAGTTTGTATCTCTAGATTATAAGTGGTTGTTGAAGTTTGGAATTATAAGTATTTTTAGATGTCTTGTTTAGGTTATCTATTTTTAACTCGAGTTTTGGATAATATACCAAGAAAGAGAGTTTTATTAATAGATCTCTTGTACCATCCTGTGTAATGTGTAGTTGCTTGACTTGCTTCATCTTTGTAAACTTTTCAATTTTCTCAATCCCGAGAAACAATATGTTACTCATGCTGTCTTTTTTGCTTGTATCCACCTAAACTGAATGATAAGTCCATATCTTGGAGATAATTAGAGAAAATCTAGCTTCCCATTGGAATACCTTATTTTCTTGCTCCCTGCAAGACTGTTTGGGGAGTGATCTACTTAGAAAACCTTTATAAGATTGATTTAGGGATTCTTATCTCTCTTTTTTGTTAGGGTTCAAGCATTGATATTGTCTCCTACAAGGGAGCTCGCAGCACAAACAGAAAAGGTGATATTGGCAATTGGAGATCACATAAATATTCAGGTACATGCATGTGTAGGAGGCAAAAGTGTAGGGGAGGATATCAGAAAACTAGAGCATGGTGTACATGTTGTTTCTGGAACTCCTGGAAGAGTTTGTGATATGATCAAGAGGAGAACATTACGTACGAGAGCTATAAAACTACTAATTTTGGTACGTATAGTGGATCTTCCTTCTATGGATGTACACTACTGTGCTTTCGCAGGCTTATGCTTTTCTACTTTATGTTAACCTTCCCATGAAACAAGGTAAGCTGTATGCTCCGTAATATTTACTGTAAAATAATCCTTGAGTTTTTGTAGGATGAATCTGATGAGATGTTGAGCCGTGGTTTCAAGGAACAGATTTATGACGTTTATAGATATCTTCCACCGGAACTTCAGGTTATCTATTACCTCTTCTTTTATATGTAAATTTACTCTACCTTTCTCAATGCTTGCACATACTCACAATTATCATGACCCTATCATAGTCAACATTTTTGTTTTTTGCCTTTGGTGTACATCAACTATGGTGTGTATGTCATGCCACTCATGCTCTTGAATTTCATTAACTGAAAGTCAGAATGAAGTTTTCTTATCGCTGATTGAAATGTTTTGTTCAATTATATTATTTTATTGATATTCCTGTTTTAATACTTGCATTAATATGTACGGAGTAGTTTACATATTTACCTTGATTAAAAACAGGTTGTATTGATTTCTGCCACACTTCCAAATGAGATTCTTGAGATAACAAGCAAATTTATGACAGATCCTATTCGGATCCTTGTAAAGCGTGATGAGTTGACCCTAGAGGTAAGTATTTATTTTATCTACAGTTATATTGTTAGGAGAGAATAGACATACAGTAAAACATTTGTATTTTTTCTTCTCATTCAGGGCATCAAACAGTTCTTTGTTGCTGTTGAGAAGGAAGATTGGAAATTCGATACACTGACTGATCTTTATGATACCCTGACCATTACTCAAGCTGTAATCTTTTGCAACACAAAACGTAAGGTAACACAATTACGTTTTTGCTTGTATCATTTTCCTCGGAGTTTAAGAATGTTTATGCATGATTTTTTTTCTATTCTTCACATAATCGTTTTCCAGAATCTGGGATTTTGGTATCATGGTATTTATGTTGAAGTCTTTAGAAAATATTGTAAGGAATGTCTAGAAATCAAATCAATCCCGATTCAAAATTGAAAGTGTGAGTTGGTGTAAATACAATGTATGGGCTGTTAGTGTCACAACTTAAGCTTTGAATTGTATATATGAGAATCTAGAACAATAATGATACCTTTAAAATTATGCAGTTCAAGTTTTTAAATCACTTCAGTTTCTTCACCACAATGATTACCTGGCATTTAGGAAGTATCAGAACTGAAATCTGAAACATTTTAGCTCTAGTCAAATGAACATAGTATATTGTGGCAGGTGGATTGGCTCACTAGCAAGATGCGTGAAAGTAACTTCACAGTGTCGTCCATGCATGGGGATATGCCTCAAAGGGAGCGAGATGCTATAATGGAGGAGTTTCGGTCTGGCACAACTAGAGTCCTCATTACAACAGATGTTTGGGCTAGAGGTTTGGATGTTCAACAGGCAAGCTCTTTTATCCTTGTGGTTCAAAGTTCATATACATGTATTTAACTATTCCTTCTGTCCCAAAATGCAATTTACAGTTTACTTCGGGATTTAGGAAAAGTGTTGGAATGTAAAACGTGTGGTTGTAGTTTTTCTAGAAGAGTGAAACATTTTCATTTCTTTAACATGAAAACAAAGAAGTTTACACTATTTTGGGACATCCTAAAAAGGAAATGTAAAGTTCATTGTGGGACATGCGGCATTTTTAAAATTATTATTTTATTTTAATTCAACACTTCCATAAGAAATGTGAATCCAAATGTGTAAATCAACAAGTAAATCAGAGACCCATAGAACCACATGTATGTGAGAAATAGGAACCGTAAAATAGAAGGTTGCTAGTTTTGAATGCTTACCAGATAGAATTGCAAACCGTGATGTAATTGGTTTGCTTTTGTGAACAGGTTGTCTAGAAACTAGAAAGCCTAAACTAACATCATTCCAGTAAATCCAATTTAGATGGCAAGTTAAGTCGTCTGCTCTTAAATCTTGCTAACAACACATCAGGCAATGTTATTAAACCATCTTATAATCCAAAACCAAATCCTTGATTTGTCTTGAACAATGATTGGATCTTTTGCAAAGCAAAATTCTTAAGCTAGATCGTTTTTTAGCAACCCTCAGATGCGGTTTTATATAGCACGTATTCATTTCAATATGGACCATGAAAGATGAGTTCCTGCAATGCTACTTAAACTCATTTCAATATCATCGTGATGTTTCGTTTACCCTAACGTTTCAGGTTTCGTTGGTTATTAACTATGACCTTCCAAACAACAGAGAGCTCTATATTCACCGCATTGGTCGTTCTGGTCGTTTTGGGCGGAAGGTATACTTTTTTCCTGTTCTTTGCTGGCTCTATTTTTGGTGTCCTAAAAAAATCCAATGTAGCCTGGAACACTTTGCCCTTATTTGGGAACAATTTTTCAGTTAGCATTTTAGATAAATTTTCAATAGTGCAAATTAAATTAGGAAACAGTATGTTAAATGCTGCCTCTAGATAGTCTTTTCAAAATCTAAAACTAAACGCTGAAGTTGTTGTTAAACGGACACTTTGAATGGATGAAATTTAGGTTAAAAGCAAGGGAAGTGGTATTACATCTCATTTGCTATTTGTTGGTTCCAGGGTGTTGCCATAAACTTTGTGAAAACTGATGATATCAAGATTCTGAGAGACATGGAACAATACTACAGTACGCAGATTGATGAAATGCCAATGAATGTGGCTGATTTGATATGATTGATTCATCGTGTTTGGCACTTCTACTTGTACTTCTTGGGTGTTAGGTTGTGGCACCGGGCATGGCGTTTTGCCTGTTTTATTCACTTTAACCAAAGTTTCTGGCTGTTGGGTTTGGATGCGATTGTGGTCTGGTTTTCGTTGCTTAGCAAACTTGTTTTTTTATAGGAAATGTATGTATACTAATTAAGATTTTTATTTATGGCTAGTGTGTGAGTGTATGTGCCTTGCTGCTCATTCATGAACCAATGGTATGTTTTTTGTCAAGATTGAATTGAATTTCATGATTCTGTGTTTCACTTCTACTTTGGCCTTGTTTGAAAAATGTTAGTGTTTTGGATAAAGTATTAATTATATAGATTAATTCTGAAAATGTTAAACCTAAAAGCTATGTTGGATGATGTTTTCAAAACATTAATGCTAACTTCTAATGTTAATGCTAAAGAGGGCTTTTGTGGAGGAAAGAGAAATGGTAATTACACATTTTCTTTCTTTCCTAGGTTTAGAAAATGCAGAGCAAGTGTTTCCAAACAATTTATCATTTGCCATTTTACGAGTGAGAATTAATATTGTTTTATGGCTTTTAGTTTCCGTAATTAAATTCGAATGTTCCCCATTCCAATTCTTCATCCGAAATGTCATCCTCATCAAATATTCATTCCATTCTTTCTCCTTCCACGGAAGGACAATTACTTCCTCCATCGAAATCATTTTAAATGAAAATGATACCGAATTAAAAGATAAAAATTACGCCCTCCGTCCTATATCTTTCTTCCCATTGCGCAAAACGAAGAAAAATCCCAAGTTTTTTCAATATATTTTATTTAAATATTGGTATAGAAATAAAAAATAAAACATAAATATTTAAAAACTACATCAAAAGTTCAACAAAACAAGTGGTGACAAGAATATTTTGTTTTATCATATAGGCCATGAAACAACACAAATAAATATAAATTCCCGTAAAGTTGGAATTGTAACACCCCAACCCGCGTAACCCGAACCAACGAGTTAGCGAATCGGGTTGTTACTAAGTTGGTGCTCACATGCCTAAATTTTTTTTTCCTAAATTGAACAATTAAATCAATTGTAAAATTCGTCCGTAGGGTTTTAACTAAACCCGAATTCACCAGAATATTTAAATAAATCCAAACGTCGCGGAAGCATAAGGAAACCAAAGTAACGTTCAACCGTTCATATAATCAAATAAAATAATGTAGTTTAATTATTAAAGTAAACAAGAGCCATCCACGCCACACCACCACTTCACTGCCCTCCGGGTTGCCCATCCAAATCTGTGTTCCTACCTGCGTGCAGTCAAACAACAACGGCTCAGCGAAACGCTGAGTGAAAATATACCTAAGCCAGCATTAACTCACAGAATAGCACCACATTAACATACAATCAACAACATCATGTGATCACAAAGAAAATAGCTTAAATAAACATATTTATATTATCACCTTCCATTTGAACATCATGTCCTTATTTAATTCCACATCAACTACTTTGAGTCATGGCACCCCAAGCGATGCTATAAAAGGGCCAGCTCGGAAACCCAAAGGAGATTCACTTTGGGCGGGTTGAAGCCCTGTCCCTACGATGCCAGGACAGGTCGCGGACTTCCGTACGTACGTTTTTAACCCAAGACCACCAGGGGTACGACGACGCCCCGCAATGGCCAATTTCTTAACCATATCCTATTGTTGATTCAATCAGTCAATCCAATTCAGGTCCGCCTAATTATACTAGGTGGTCTATTTCCCATATATTATTCATAATCCACAATTTTCACCAATAAGATCAACTTAATTTAAATCTCAGTTCACAATTCACAACAAATCACGTAGCGGCCTATCCGGGCCAAAGATCCACGATTACCGTCATGCATAATCAAACAAACCCAAATTACAATTAACCCAACTTACCTGCGCGGAATCGAGCCCAAGGAATCGATCCTCAAGCCCGCTGCCCCCGCCGGAGCAGTCCCCATTGTCACCAGACCAACCCCGGCACCACCGCCGGTAGCCGACCCGGCTGCCCGAGCCCGTAGCCCGACCAAAAAGCCCTATTGGGTGATTCACAGCAACTCGAGCAATCCCAAACAGCCCCAATTGCATCAATTTGAGTCCAAACAGCCCTGATTACACCCAATTGCACCCGAAAGGACCCGATTGAACCCAATTAGACCCAAATTGAATCCAACGGGAACTAATTGGACCCAATTGGATCCCACACAGCCAACCCAAACCACTGTCGGAGCCCTGACCGGCCTGCCGACGTCCGCCGCCGGCGTCTCACCGGAATCCGGCGGTGTTCAACCCCCAATTTCTTCAAACCCAACCAAATTCATCAATTAACAATCAAATTCACAATCAATTACTAAATTATACGTTAAGGAAGTTCTAATCTATGAATTAACGCTAACGGAAGGTATAGAAACAACAAATCACCTCAAAAGTTGAAGAAATCGGATCTTAGATAGGAAGGGTTGGTCGCCGCTGCTCCTCGTCGGCCTGGCGCACGCGAACCGGAACAGTAGCGAGAGAGAGAGAGAGAGATAAACGGAAGCGGTCGGCGGCGTCGGATTCCTGGTCGCCTCTCGTCGTCGGCGCAGCGTGCAGAGGGAACGAGCAAAACAGCGAAGGAAAACGGACGCAGGGAAGAAAGGAAAGGTTTGTGCGTGTCTGTAACTCCCAGGCTAGTTTAATACGGAGTATATAATTAAACACATTTAGGGTCCACTTAACATACTTAACCCATTTGGATAAGTTTAACCCCAATTACTTGATTCGTCAATAGTATCTTGGACCCAATAAGCCTGATTCACAATCCGTTTGCGCGATCGGATTCAGAACAACGAGCTCTACAACATAGGATAAACCCTCATTAATTAACGCAAATTATAAAATAATCCTCATATTGACTGATCCAATAATTAATTAATTTTATAAATTAATTAAAATACTAAGCCGGGCTTTGGGGCGTTACAGGAATAATGCTCTGGGAAGAAAGTTTTAGGACGTAGGGAGTACATTTTAAAAATTATATGAAAAAATTTACAAAACTAGAAATTAGATGACTATATTGGAGTAGTTTTGAACATGTAAATATTGATTCTGAATTTTATTTAGTGAATAAAGAATGATAAATATTCATTGAGTACATATATAAATGACTGAATTCATTGAGTACGCTTCAAACGTCCCTAAATTAATGTCTGCTTCAATCTTCTTTGTGAAATGACAAACTTTCACTTTAATTAATACTGAGTAAAAATGGAATTAAATATAGGCATGTAATTAATTTTATTAGATTTATTTTCTAACATGTTTTCAAAATATTATTTTAATCTAATTTATTTACCTTATATTTTATTTAATTATAGTTCGGACAATAAAAGGATTGATTGTAAAAAAAGTTAAAATTAGACGAAAAATGTTAAAGATACCCCAAAAGCAGCTATAAACACCGGATTTAGGATTTTTGGGTATGTGCGAACTAATTCCAACAAAATTGCAGGATAATTTTTAATCTTTTCAAATTATTATTTTGTTCACAATTATTTTGACAATAAGTAATTCCTTCTTTCTCATGAGATGTTCACTTTTTAAAAATAAAAAAAAAACTGTCCAGAAAAAATAGTTTTAATTTCGTGTGCATACCATTTTTTTTAATCTTGCATGCCTTTTTATATGCATTAGTAATCGTGTCAATCACTACAGATGGATTATGTGTAACTCATTCCCTTCCAATGAAATTGGTTTTAATTTTCTCATTAGAAAATATATCATGGTGATTAAAGCTTAGTTTTTAGGAGTGTGAATAATTTTTCAAGGGTTAGAAATTAAATCAATACTTGACGATTTTAATATACAAAATACGGAAAATAAATCATTAATATACAAAATACGGAAAATAAATCACGGAGAAATAACATGTACTCCGTAAATTAAACTAATACTCTCTCCGTCTCTAAATATTTGTCACACTTGTATTCCCGAAAGAAAATATCAAGTTTTTTCAATTCATTTTACTTACATATTGGTATATAAATAAAAAATAAAATTTACATATCAAAAAATTATATGAAAAGTTATTCAAAATAAGAGGTGTCAAGAAAATATTATTTAATCAAATAACCAATGAAAATGTAGAAATAAACTTAAATTTCTGCGACTATTGAAAAAGTATGTGTGACAAATATTTTGGGACGAATGGAGTAAATAGTTAAGGAATAATAGCCTTCAAAAAACTGAAAAAAGTTGAGTAATTACTTTAAGAAAAAATCATTCATCTCTTAAAAACTGATTTCATTCATAGATGTCTAAATTCATACGAGTACAAACCAAATCTTGAATAATGTGTCTACCATTACAACTACAACAATAAAAAAAAAGTAAAGATGTAATTAATTAACGATTAATGAAATTTAATTTATTCAAAATCTAGAAGCGAAGCACGCCGACGTAAGGTTTGACGGCAGAGCCCAAATAGAATCTGCCGTTATGCTCTTCCACCTCACTCACGGAGCTCAAACGGTCGCTGCCGTGGCCGTCAAGAAACTGCACAATCCGACCGTCCTCCGCAAACTTGATCCCGATCGAATCTCTAACGACGTCTCCGCCGGCGGCAAGCGTCTCGTCCCTCAGCTCCGACCTCCCGCTGTTGAGCGCCACCCAGAACTCCCCCCTACGGTTCCTCTTCACGTTATCCGGCGCCCTTATCAGCTGGGCAAACAACTCCGGCGGCGCCAGACCGCCGCCGCCGCCGCCGAGACGGAACTTGTACAGCCTCCGCGTCCCGCCTTCCGCCACTACGAGGAAAGACCCGTCCCTGCTCAGGGCGATCCCGTTGGGGAAAGCCAGCCCCCTGTACAGAACCCTCACGCGCTTGTCCCGCGCGTGGTACGCCAACACCCTCCCGGTTCTCTCTCCTCTGTTGAACGACTTGAGATATTCTCGGCGCTGGAAAACCGCGCTGCTGTCGGTGAAGTACACGACTCCGGTTCTCTCGTCGATGTCCAGACCGTTGGTGAGCCGGAACCGGACTCCCTCCGCCGAGTCGGCCAGGTGCTCGGCGACCCCGCCGGCGGGCCCCACCCTGAGGAGGCCGAAGTAGGCGTCGGCGATGTAGAGATCGCAGGTGGCGCGGTTGAACTTGAGGCCCAGAGGCCGGCCGCAGACAGGTTCGGAGTTCGGGTCGGTGGTGCCGTCGCAGAGAGCTCGGTTCCGGTTCGGGAGAGGGATGGAGAACTCGGACCAGCCGCGGGACCGGCCGTTCCACTTGAGGACCCTGCCGTCTGAGACGCCGACGTAGGGCCCGGCGCCGTTGCAGTCAAATGCGATACTCTCGGGGCCAAGGCCGCCGGGGAGGGGGATCTCGCCGTATCTCCGACTAGGATTTGGACCGTCGCCGGCGGCACCGGGGAGGAGCAACAAAAGAGAAAAGAGAAACAGAGAGCGGAACATGAACGACCCCACAGTCTTCATCATCTCCATGATCACACTGTTATTAATTAATTTGCAAGAAATTGGACTTTGTTTGTTTGAAGATCTCTTGTAATAAAAGAAGCAATTGTATATGGTATATGATGCATGTGTGGGTATATATAGGCTAGGGCCATGTTAATCCTAGCACTCCTTGGACGACCATTTTCGCAGTTTCTTGGTGCCCAAGTTATTTAATTGCTTCTACTAATTATTATTTTTTGTGCAAATTAAACCACTAATCCTACTAATAAGTCCCCACTCCCGAGTATTATTTGCGACTCCAGAGTACTTTGTCCAATCTACAAATGGATAAAACATTAACAAAAAAAAGGAATGTATTTTTAAAATATGTTTACATTTTTCATGTTTATCATATCGGAATTTATCATGAAAGTCATAATATACAATTACTCCTTGATAAAGAATGAAGAGTGTATCCTCTTTTTGTTCCGAATAGGTTTTATATACGAGTATGATTTTTGATACTCCCTCCGTTTGCAAAAAAGGTTCCTACTTTGATTTGGAACCAAAATAAGGAAGTGTAAAATTATAGTTGACTTCCAATTTTGCCCCTGATGTGATGGGTAAAAGTAAGATGTGATGGATAGATTATTAGAGAAAAAGTATGATGTAATAGGTAGGGTATGAAAAAGTAAGGGTAAAAGGGGTTTTTTAATAGAAAGAGGAAGTGTTTTGTTGGAAGTGAAAAAAAATGAAAGAGGACGTGTTTTAAAAAACTGAGGGAGTAATATTTAAGACTCAATATCCTAGAATTTTGCCATGTGGATAGTCTACTTGGCATTACTTTTGACAACTCAACCTTCCACCTATGCTACGGAGTAGTGACTTGACGATTTTACTTGGCTTTTAAATATGAAAATATAATGTAGACCTACTTTATGATGCAAAGTTCCATATCATACTTACCTTTTAAAAAATTCGCATAATCTTCATTTGTGAAAAAATGTTTATAATAAAAAAAGTTAAGGATAAGGCCGGATTGAGTTATTAATATTAAATCTTTATTTTAATATTAATATTTTAGTATCAATTTTGAAATTGAATCAGACTTTAAAAACTACTTTGGGCCCAATCTAGATGGTGACTCAATCCAATCCAAAAGAGTAGGTGGGGCATGTGAACCCCCTTGCTATATATAGTTTGTTTTTGCACATATCAAGGTAGACCGAAGAGTGGACGTCCACAATCTAATAGTGGACCCCATACCACTCGAGAAACACTTTGGCATTGTACTCTCTAAAAAATTACTATATTTGATATGTGCGAAAACAAACATATATAACAATGAAATATAATCATTTCCTCAAAAATATATATATGGTGAGTGTCAATTTTGAAATTGAATCAGACTTTGAAAGCTACTTTGGGCTCAATCTAGATGGTGACTCAACCCAATCTAAAACACTAGAAGGGGCATGTGAACCCCCTTGCTATATATAGTTTGTTTTTGCACATATCAAGGTAGACCGGAGAGTGAACGTCCCCAATCTAATAGTGGACCCCATACCACTCGAGAAACACTTTGGCATTGTGATATTTTTTGTCATACTCTGACATCATTTGATTACGAATTATATTTATTTAAAATAATTAAAAATTATAAAAATTCAATACGGAGTATTTAAAATTATATTTTAAAATAAACCTAAATTTTCAAAATTTACATTATAACTAAATATATTTTTTTCATAATTTGCGATCAAAGGGTGTCACAGTTTGACCAGAAAAATCAAACTGTGACAAATTTTTAGAAAAATCAAACTGTACTACCTCCGTCCCAATTTATATTGTATGTTTCAGTTTACAATGCTTGACTGAAATTATTCTCAAATAATTTTATATGAAAAACGATGTACAATTAAAAAATAAAAATTACATATTAAAATACTACATCAAAAGATCTACAAAACTAGTGGCGACATGATAATTTTATTTTATCAAATAACTATCGAAAAAAGAAAAAAAGTAAATGAAGTTTGCCCCTATGAATAGTAAATAGACAATTTAATTTAGGACGGAGAGATTATGATTTTAGTTATTTTGTCATTTTCGTTATTTTTTATATCTATTTTTTTATTTTTATCTAAATTTATACTAATTTTTAAATGAATAGAAATGGAGGTAGAAAATCATTTTAAAAATTCAAATTAAAATTTCAAAAAAAAAAAAAATTATTGGGCAAAACAAACTGTTTCCATTAACTCGCCGTTAACATTTTAACGACGACCCAAAATTCACAAATTTCAGTAAATTTGGAAATATTATGCATCTGAATAAAAGTTGAGATTATTTTTTAAAGACCGATTAAAGTTGAGATTGTTTTGGTTAATTTTTCCAATTTTAAAATGTGTAAAATAAATGCAATTGGACATTTGTAGAGATTTCGGGTCCATTGAGGTTTACGAAGCAGAGTCACTGGGTCCAGCCCAGTAACAATGCCATTGAAAGTAGAAGACAATGCGGTGTAATGCCTTCTTCTAAAAAAATGCGGTGTAAAGCCATTATGCCACGGCTCCGTTCCGTTCAACTTATTTTTTTTGATCTGATCTGATTCTAATAAGTTCTGATCTGATCTGGTTTAATCAGATCTGATCTGATTGGATCTGATCTGATCTGATTGGATCTGATCTGATCTGATATGGTCTGATCTGATTAATTATGATTTAATTTAAGATTTCAAATCAATAGTTTAATTTGACTTTATAATAACGTTTGAAAATTGTTATGATAATTCATATTATAATATAATCAATATTTTTTATTTAATGATTATTTTTCAATAAAATAAAAATAGTTAATTCATATATTAGAATAATCATTCATATTATAATGTAATAATATTTTTTATTTTATGATAATTTTTTTGTAAAATTAGAATTATACATTAGAATAAATATTTAATTTAGATATACATTTAAAAGTAATTAAATTTAGATAATCAATATATAGAAGAGATAGTATTTTTATTAAAATATCTCATCCTTATAAAAGATCAAAAGTTTAGAAACTCAAATTACAAGTAGCAATAAAAATATATTTTAAAAGTAGAATTAGATTGACATTGTCAATTAATTTTAAAACTAATTTTTCTGACGTCTAATAATTAAGGATTACTTTCTCAGCTTTTTATTTAACCTATTTCTAAAGTTTATTCTTTTTCATTTTTAAGAACAATAATGATAATAATAATAATGATGATGATGGCGATGATGATGATGATGATCATAATAATAATAATAATAATAATAATAATATAATAATAATAATAATAATAATAATAATAATAATAATTCTTGATGAGATCTTATTTTAATAAGTCCTGATCTGATCTGATCTGATCTGATTGGATCTGATCTGATCGGATTGGATCTGATCTGATCTGATAGGATCTGATCTAATCTGATTGGATCTGATCTGATCTGATTCGATATGATCTGATCTGATCTGATTCGATCTGATCTGATCTGATTTTAATAAGAATAACAAAAAATAAGAAAAAATAAGTTGAACGGAACGGGGCCTAAGGCTCCGTTCAACTTATTTTTCCGCTTTTTTCTTATTCTTATTAAAATTAGATCAGATCGATTCAGATCAGATTAAATTCAATCAAATCAGATCAGATTCAATCAGATTAGACTAGACAAGATCACATCAGATCCAATCAATTATTATTATTATTATTATGATTCTTCTTCTTCTTCTTCTTAAAATGAAATTAATAAACTTTAGAAACAAGTTAAATAGAAAACTGAGAAAGTAATCCTTAATTATTAGACGCATAAAAAATTATTTTTATATCGAGTCTAACGATGTGTTTGAAATATTTTTCCTAATATTTTTTCCCCTTGGGGTCCACACCATTATTTCCCACAGACTAGACATGTTGGATTTGGTGGAATATAACCTGGTGTTGAGGGTCGATATCAGACAGCGTGTAATAGGCCTATTTATTTTGTGCAAAATTCATTGGTGGCGGAAGCTTTGACATGTCATTAAGTCCTTTCGTGGTTAAGACGTCGTGGTGTGCGTGAAGTCGAGCTCTTTCATGATTGTCTTAGGATGGCGAAGTTGATGCGTCAAGCGATTGGTCGTACGTCCTGATATACCTTCATACCTTTGGGGTGCCATTGATGGATCTAGGGCTAATTTAGTTGGCTTTGATTTCATTTCTATTAATTTTGTTCCGGTGTGGCTCTTGTGACATTGGAATTCCCTGTTATGAGATGCTCGAGGGCGCTCCGGTATTCCGTTCGTAAAATTGACGGTTCATACCCCTAACCCCATTAGTAAACCTCCCCGCCCCGCCCCGACCCGAACACACCCCTATCCCCTTCAATTGCACCCAGAAGTTAAATTTGACTTTAGAATCAAAATTTGACTCAAGTCAAAATTAACTTGTGGGGTGCAATTGAAGGGGGTGGGGGGTTTACCGAGAGTTAGGGGTACGAACCGTCAATCGTACGAACCGGGCACCGGAGCACCCCGGGTGATCCCATGACATTGATTTCCAATCTCATGGAAATGGCCTCATTTTGTTCATCGTTCTTTTAATGCTTTAGCCCATACTATAGATAGAGAGAGTGACACCTATCTTGTTGTTCGAGACATTGCTCCCCTAAGTTTTCTTTTCTCATTGATGAACTAATGAATTCTTTTTCCCTTAAAAAAGTACTTTATTTTTTTTTTTTTGAACTTTTCTTTTTGCTTGAATGGTGGTAAGTTCACTTCCTAAAATTCACGAAAGAGTTAGACGGAGGAATTGGTTCTTGTGCTTTATTAGATTGAGAACAATACGGAGTATAATCTACTTCTGAGTAGGGGAGCAATTTCCCTACTTCCGAGTAGAGGTAAAGTATGCGTACACACACCTTCATAGAGTCTACTGTAGTGGAATTCAACTGGGTTGTTGTTGTATCTTATAATAGAGTCAATAGTATTATAAAAAGTATTCTATGTTTTTTCAAAGTGATTTTGCTTACAAATATTTAAAATAAAATAGAATATTTCAATTTTTTCCTTAAAGGTCGGTTTGACGGGAAGAAAATCAATTTTTAAATTATTTTTTTGCAGATTATTCACATTTTGCAATTTTTGCCCTTAAAAAAAGTTCACATTAATTTTTGGGCCATGCTACACTTACACTACAAATTGTACACCATTTGTACACCGCAGGTATATACAAACATTTTGATGGTTTAAACCGACACAAGTGTTGGTGCGTTAACAAAACTTTACACAGATACAAAGTGTTTGTGCATTAACAAAAATTAATTTTACACCAACACAAAGTGTTGGTGCAAACCCGCGGGGTATAAAGTGGAGTACAAAATATGGGGTAGAAGTAGCTTTATCCTTGAATTTTTTGCCCCTCAAGGCTACCGCCAAACAGCCCTCACACATTTCCTACTAAACCCTAATATTTTGTATAAATATCTCTCCATCGCGTTCCCAACCTCTTCCTTATAAACCCTACTTTTTCTTGGGTTTACAGCCGACGCCTCCATCATCTAAGCTTCTTTCTTCAATCTCAAGATGGGCAAGAAATCAAGCTCCAAGGTGATTTTTTATCGTAGAATACCCACGGTTTTTTGGTTAAGAATTTCGATTTCGTTCGGAACGAATCTTAGTTGTCGTGTACAATTCCTGATTTTGAATTCTGTATAGGTTGATGCTGCTCCTGCTGTTGTTGCTCCAGAAAAGACCATGAAGAAAGGTACTATTTGTTAGAAAAATCTATTCTTTCTCAGAGACGTAATTCATCCCACCGTTTTTTTAATGTTTCGAAGTTCTTTTGGATTCAATGAATATCGTCTCTTCCTGCTTCCCAGGGAACAAGCGAGAGGCTGAAGTTATTATGGAAAAGAAAAGCGCAAAAAAGCAGAAAAAAGGCTCTGGGTTGGAACAAGTCATTGAAAAGAAGAAGGCTGATGCTAAGACCCAGAAGAAGGTGGAAAGCAGTTCAGAGGAAAGTTCCTCTAGTTCTGATGAAGAGCTTAAGGTAAAATAAATTACCTTTTTTTAATTTTACCACTTTATGCTTGGATGTTTTACTGAACACATTGGATTCATTTCTGTATGTTTTGGTCTTGTATCCTCGGTTTTGTTTATCAATTACTTGGATCATTTGTTATTAAAAAAATGTAATTTTATCTTTTTTCAAGATACAAAAATAAATTTTGAATCTATATTGTCATTCTTCAACAATCCAATACAAAGTTAGTCCCCATTGGTTAAATGTCAGGTGAGTGTATGTAGTTTTGTGATGTTTTTCTAATTCTCTTCATTTTATAAGAACTCATTAATCTATTTGTGTTCTTCCCCAGTTGGTTGGAGTATCTAATTTAATGATGTGTTCATGGTTTTCATACTGTTCTATGGCTTTTCCACTGTTTCCAACATTGAATGATGATAGTCCTTTCTTTTCAGAAACCTGCCCCCAAAACTTTAGCTCCTCCAAAAAAAATCAATCCTTCCAAAAAAGGGAAACAGTCAAGTGATGAGAGTGATTCTGAATCTGAAGATAGCAGCTCAGATGAAGAGGTCACTGTTACCAAAAAAGTTCCTTCAGTCCCAGCCAAAAATGGGGCAGTGAATGGGAAGAAAGTTGCATCAAGCTCAGAAGAGGATAGTTCTGATGATGATGATACTCCCATGAAGGAGGTTAGTGCTCCTGCACCTGCTCCTGCAAAAAAAGCTGCGAGTAGTTCAGAGGAAAGCAGCTCTGAAGAGGATTCAAGTTCAGATGATGAGACCCCTGCTAAGAAGGCTCTTCCTAAGGCATCTACGCCTGCAAAAAAAGTTGAAAGCAGTTCCGAGGAAAGTAGTTCTGATGAAGAAGATGACACCCCTGCCAAGACAAAGGCTCCTCCCAAGTCTTCTGTCCCTGCAAAAAAAGTTGAAAGCAGTTCAGATGAAAGCAGTTCTGATGATGAGGATGACACACCTGCCAAGACAAAGGCTCCTCCTAAGACATCTGTCCCTTCAAAAAAGGTTGAAAGCAGTTCAGATGAAAGCAGTTCTGATGATGAGGATGACACCCCTGCCAAGAAAAAGGGTCCTCCTAAGACATCTGTCCCTGTAAAAAAAGTTGAAAGCAGTTCAGATGAAAGTAGTTCGGAGGATGAGGATGATGCCCCTGCCCAAAAGAAGGCTCCTGCTAAGGCATCTGTTCCTGCAAAAAAAGTTGAAAGCAGTTCAGATGATAGTAGCTCTGATGAAGATGTAAGTTCCATGTCTTGTAATTGCTCAGAGGGGTCAATCTAGTTGTCTTGATTTTGCACTGACTCCTTCTATACCACCCTGTCTATCATGCTACCCATTTTCCAGGATGCTCCAGCTGCTGCTCCATCTAAGAAAACATCAAATGGAACTGACATTAAAATGGTACTTTAACCATGACTCCATTGATCCACTTGTTTGATGATGATTTATCATGAATTCTCACATTTTTCCCGCCATGAAAATTTTTGTTACTAGATCCATCCTGTGCCCTAATATGTTTGGGGGATACTGGTGGTGATCTAATTTCCCTTTTATTTTGAATTGAAGAAAACTGATGATGAAAGTGAAGAAACCAGTTCAGAAGATAGTGAAGATGAGGAGCCACAAAAGAAGGCCACAAAGGTATGTGTATCGGGTTGGCTTTTACTCGCTTACATTTTATTATTTATACAGAGTACATGAGAAGTCCTTTTGATTATAGAATCATTGCCAAACAGTCTTAGTTTTCACATGAGTTTCTGTTTCAGAAGAGTAGTTCTGAAGACTCATCTTCAGAGGAGTCCAGTGAGGAGGAAGAAGAGGAGCCTTCAAAGACTCCAAAGAAGGTATGCATACTTTTTTTAATTTTTTTTTGCACATTTCTGGTTTCTGTTTGTAACTTCCCATTCATAAGTCATTCTCTTGAACACATTGATGGTATTGTAAATCTCATGCTGTGTCTGATTGGATAGTATATACTAGGCAATTAACTAATTATGTACACATTGTATTTTATACTGAGTATATTTATATCAGTTAGTAAATATTAATGGTAAATAGTTCCCATTAAAAATGGGACCAGTTTCTACTGTATAACCTCGGTGATCGTAGTCATATGTTTGGTTGAAGAAAAGTGTGGGAGGGAAGTTGGAAGGTATTTGAGAAATTTTCAATGTTTAGATGGAGGGAAATAGGGAAGGGAATGTTTGAATTGAATAAACATCCTCTTTTATAGTGAAATAGTGGGCACTTCCCACCAAACAAACTAGTGGAGATTTATTTTTCACTCCACTTTCTTCCTCACTTATGTATTCTCCATTTTCTTCCCCTCGACTTCCTTTTGTTGCCTCTACCAACTAACGTTGCTGTTCAGAATCCATAGGTCCTCAAGTCATACTCTCTCATGTTATGTTTGGTTGAAGGGAAGTGGGTGGGAATGAGGAGGGAGGGATGTTGGGAAACAATTGATAAAATTCTAATGTTTGGTTGGGGAGGAAAATAGGAAAGGAAATAGAATGGAATTATGAAAGAATTTTAATTTTCTTCCTCTTCACTTGTTCTCCTTTTCCCCAAGATACGATCCTTCATGACTGCCTGTTTCTTATTATGCTGTATTTTTTGCTGTTTTAAGTTTTTTGATTTAATTCTTTGCTTCAAACACTATTGGCTGTTCTTGAGCTGAGGCTTTATAACAGTTTTAGGGCATGTGCTGTTTCCAGCTTGATCCTACCAACCATAATTTTCTTTTAATTATACAGGCTAAAGATGCTAAAATGGTTGATGCAACTAGTAAGGCTCAGAGTGAAAAGAAAGCTGTAAGTGATTTTTGTATGGGTACAATGCATAATTATAATTCTCCATCTCATAAAGAGTGCACTTCAATTGTATTATTTCCATTCCCTTGTGGAGCTAAGATTCACTATTTTTTTGGCTTTGAGGCATGATAGAATAAAGCAAATTGGCTCTCTAAATTGTGTGCGCTTCTTGTAATTGTGAAGTAGCAGTTGGTCAATGTAACTTTTGACATTCATCATTGGTCATGTGGAATAGCCGCTCTATGTTTTAAACATAGGGGTCTGACTACGTACATATGACCCCCCTTACCTCCCAATGGGCGGGAGCCGTTGAGGCACTGTGGTAATGCTGTTGTTGTAGGGACTAGTCTCAGAGAGCAGTAAATTCACCTTTTCTCAATCAAGTTGAGAAATGATCTTTTAATGGGACAAACAGGAAGTGATATGACTCTTTTTGAAGAGGGTTTTTTTTTGTTAAATTGTTTCACAACATTATTGATTTTGTATTGCAGCCTAAGACACCAGCCACCCCCAGAGCACCAGAGCAAGAATCAAAAACTATCTTCATTGGAAATTTGTCATGGTCAATTGATAATGCTCATGTGTATGTTGTCAAATTTGGCATTGGAAGTTTGGATTTATGCTGACTCTTTTGTAGTGTAGCTAACTTAATTATTCTTGCTTTTAACATGCAGAGAAGATTTCTTTAAAGATGTTGGAGAGATAAAAGAAGTTCGTTTTGCTTCCTCCGAGGATGGGAATTTCAAGGGTTATGGGCATGTTGAGTTTACCACTAGTGAGGCTGCCACCAAGGTAAAGTGTAGTTGTCATACAAGTATCTTCAAAGGCTTCTATTGTTTTATCCTTTTTCATGAACATTTTAAACATTGCACTTGCCCTGACCCAAAAAGAATTCTTGTAAATGTAGCTTTTCATGTTACTTTACATCTGAAGTCCCAAGTACTAAACGTAATAAATGAATACTTAAAACATTTTTTTAAATGACCTTATTTTCTTAATCTTTTTGTAAGTTGCAGTATCTATTGTGTCTTATTTTTATTCAACTTGATCTTCTGGTGCTGTTTGTATTTAGGCTCTGGAACTAAATGGTCAACAACTGTTGGGCCGCGAGGTGAGACTTGACCTAGCAAGAGAGAGAGGTCCTTTTACTCCCAAAAGTGATTACCACAGTGGGTATGTAATTTTTCCCAAACACCAATCATGTTCACTGTGTTCCACATCGAACCTTATGGGAAATTTGTTATTGTAGGAAACGTGAAAATTCTTTCCAGAAACAAAGCAGTGGTGAAGGTACAACTATATTTGTCACGGGCTTTGACACAAATGATGAAGAAGATCAGGTTGCTCCCCCTGTGACTTTTTAGACTTTGGTTTCTCACTATGCATTCGAATGAGATCTTATTATATACTGTTGTTGTCTGCACAATTTACAGATAAGGAGTGCTCTCGAAGATCATTTTGGTGACTGTGGAAAAATCATACGCACGAGACTTCCAACCAACCCCGATGGATCTGTGAAAGGGTATGTGGTAAATCTGTTTTTTTTTTCGTAATTGAACAAACAAATAAATTTCAATATATATGAGTGACCTGACTAAATCCAAAGATTGTACTTTTATCTTGATTCCCCCGTTCAAGTGCCTTGTGCTTACAAATAAATTTCCAAGTAGCATCTTAAAACGCAAGTCATTACCACTTTGTTTGATTCAAGGAATTTGAAAGAGAAAAGAAAAGAAAATGAGGGAAATTTCTTTTTCTTGTTTGGTTATAGACGAAAAGAAAAGAGGAAGGAAAAGAAATTGAGAAAGAAAATATACCAAGACCCTATTTTTTTGAGATGGAAAAATTGACTTCTAACTGCTTTCAGTTTCTTCTAATTCTTCCAATTCCTTCCAAGTCTTCTTAAAGCAACTTAAAAGAGGTATTTATATACTAGTATAATGAATATACAATAACGTTATATATCTAGATTTATGATATAAAATCCCAAAGCACAAAAGCATGAACTCTTTCTTTTCCTCCAAATTTCTTGGACCAAACATAGTGTAAAGGCCAATTATGAGTCATTTTCATTGGAGTTTTTGAGCAACCCATTTTCATTACATTATCTTTGTTTCCACAGGCTGGGATACATTGAGTTTACTGACAACGAAGCGATGACCAAAGCCCTGGAACTGAACCGGTCCTCTTTAGGAGGCAGCACCTTGAAAGTGGTGGAGTCTAGGCCAAGGGACAACAGTGGTGGTGGAGGTAACAGAGGTCGTTTTGGTGGGGGCGGAGGAAGTTGGGGCGGGCGTGATGGGGGTCGTAGCGGCGGCAGATCAAGCAGAGGTGGCCGTGATGGAGGTAGGTTTGATCGCGGTGGAAGGAGTGGTGGAAGAAGGGGTGGAAGGACTAGTAGCATTACCCCCTCAGGTATGTTCTTATTAAAAGTTGTAAAATTGATGGTTCTTTTTCCTGTAACCACCCCTAAACCCTATCCCCGCTGCCCACCCACCCTAGCACCCCCTGTCCCCTTCTCAATATAGGCAAATGGGGGAGAAGGGGTGCTAGGGTGGGCAGGTAGGGACGGGTAAGAATCATCAATCAATTTAATTTTACGAACAGAGACCTTAAATATGTAATTTCTATTTTCTAATTTTACATTGTTTTTCATATAAAATTATTTAAAAATAACTTTAATCATAATAAGAAAAAAACTAATTCAAATAATGACACAATCAATAACCAATAAAATTAATTGAATGCATTGCATCTATGGCCAGGTAAGAAGACAACCTTTGGTGATGATTGAGGCTGTCGTCAGGTTTTTTGGGGACCACCGCAAGCTCTTCTTTTATTTATTGAAAAAGACAGTGAAGGGCATTTTGGAGATTATTGTTATTTTGATATTAACTGAGATTAGTTGTGTTTTTTAATATTGCCAGATTTTGTGTGGTGTTTTTTTTTATATTTACATTTTGTCGTAGTGGTGTACTTTCCGATTTACCTGTCCGTTATAAAAAAACCGAATTTCCGTTAAGTTTATTACCTGTTCCATTCTATTTGGGTATCTTCTATAGATGAAATGCTTGATTTTATTTGAATGATTTGACATATGTATGGCTATATATATAGGCAATTAGAATCTAAAATTAATAAATATTTATTTTCTCATAGAACTTTTTAGATGATATTTACAGAATTATATTAAATCTGTGGAATCTTGCATCAGTATAAAATAATCATGAAAAAAATTCATCAATCTTAAAGACTCTTCATGCAATCCCAACTACCTTGTCAATTGTGTCTAACAAGTTTTAGTTAGCTTTGGAATCATTTATGAGTTTGGTGGGGATTTATTGGGGTGTTAAGGGGACTGTAATTACTAATTTTGTAAATAAAACATCGTAAATACTCTCATTAGACGAGTATCTTAGTGTCAGCGTAAGTTACGTAACTAGAATACGTTAATTTTCTTATTACATTTTTATTTAAAATACAAATAATTTTTATTTATAAGACAAATTTGGGAATTAAACATTTATGAAAAAAGACAAAGGAAAAAAGAAGAGTGTAGGGCAATAGAGTATTTCACCTGAATTTGACTAATATTTTAGTTTAATGAGAGAGTGGTGTAGAAATATTAGATAAGATACAAGGAGAATGAGGTAAATTTCAAAAGTAAAGAGAATAACAATGCGTATTTACCAATCTATATATGGTGCAATAAACTCACCAACCGTCTAACATGAACTAGGGAATTATATTTCATTTCCTAAAACTGATAAAATATATTCTGCATAAAAAAAATGACATCTCCAATGGAGAAGCTCTCGAAATTGTAGATAACAAATAAGGTTTTATATAACAGAAAAACATCATATATCAACACAATCATCATCTTCTTCTTCAGTTTCATCATTTTCCCAGTCGAATTCCAAAGATCCAGCAGAGTTGATCAGCTCAGTCAATCCAGTTAGATCCTCGAGATATGTGGGGTGGTTGATCGCTTCCAGCACAAAATCCATCCCCCGCTTCTCGTATTCAGACACAACCTGTCATCTCTTGTATATTTACTACCTTTCACAAACTATAGGCCATGTTTGGGAAGAGCCGTTTTTAATCAGCATTAGCGTTTTAGATTAAATATTAACAGTGTAGATTAATTCGGAAAATGCTAATGTCAAAAGCTACTGTCAGATAGCTTTTTTCAAAACGCCAACGCTGATGCCAAACGAGGCCATAATGTCACATAACATGAGTTTACAAGCACCGATGGCTAATCTCCTGAACTATATGTATTTTTGTATTTAAAACTTAATAAGAGAAAAATGCATAGTATTGGCTTGTATATGAATGAATCTCTCACCTTAGAAGAGCAAGCTGTGCAACTGGGAGAAGCATGACCCACAAGAGACATTTGAGAGAATTGAGACAAAGAGCTACGGATCTGATGTGGTAGTATGCCTAGAGGCTGCTCGTTGCTCCCGTTATCAGTAGAATTTGCGAATTCTGCTTCGGCATATATCCTGTTCATTGTGATTCCAACACATTAAAGATATGAATAAAACAAAAAATAGGTGTGCCAAAGCTCAGATTCTCAGGGTTTTGGAACCCCAACGGAGCAATTTACACTATGTTTGGTTCAAGGAATTTGAAAAGGAAAAGAAAAGAAGAAGTGGAAAACCATTTTTCTTGTTTGGTTAGAGGGGAAAAAAAAAGAAAAAGTGGAAGGAAAAGAAAATGAGGAGGCAAAATGTACCAAGTGGAGGGAAAACCAAATTCCTTCCATTTTGGTGAGGAAAATGAGAGAAAACCATTTTCTTTTCTTTTCCTTCCAAAATCCTTGAGCCAAACATAGTGTCAGAGCTCTCAAAGGACACACAGCATGAAACAAAAATTTTCCTCCAAAATAACATTCAACTGTGAACCAGAGGAAAATTCTTTAAGACCAAAGAAAGGGCAGGCGGATAGACAAGTATATCAGTTTTTGGTATTTAGAAGAAGAATTACCCAGAAGGATGATGCAGTATGCCCACCAACAGTTCAACAGCAAGGGAGGATGCAATAGGAGCAAGCCCAGGACGAGTAACCGTGCACTGTTGGTCCAAAGTACGATTGGCAGTTGACTACACACCAAATACTATTGTTACTAAACACAGTTTTCGTGATAATATTAATAGAAGTAATCATAATAGTAATCCAGACTAATTTTGTTAGTCTGTTATAATAAGAATTATAAGAATCCGGTAAGGTCCATAAGTGTGGGGCTTGGAGACGGTGAGTGCACACACACCTTACCCCTACCTATTAAGGCAGAGAGGCTAATTCTAGAAGACCCTTGTCTCAAGAACAGTTGATAGCAATCAAATATAAATGATGAAGAGTTGAGATTACATCGATGGGAGCAACTACATCATTGCAGAAGTAACACCCCAATCTCTCCTTGCCATTTGTTTCGGTGACTGAGAGCTTCTTCGTATTAGCTGAGCAACTGCGAAGAGTTTCATCTGGTAAAGTGCTCGTGGGACCGGCTCCATGGCGCATCACAAGGAAGCTATCAAAACCTAGAGCTGCAGTGATAGTGACCTGCAGCAATTTTGTTTTGTATAAAATATGGTTTAGAAAGTGATTGAAATTAGAAGGGTGTAAATGAAAAGGAAAGATGATGGCAAAATTGTAATAAGGCCATTTTAAAGAGAGTGGACCACTGGGAAAAAATTGTGGGGAAATAATTCAAAAAGAAAATATTCGCACGAGAAAAAAAAACAAACAAACCTTGTTGGCAGTGGCACAAAGCAGACTGGGAAGCCACCGACTTTCTCGAGTATCAGTCAGTAAAAAGATTACATCATGAGAGGAAATCAAGCCCTGCAAGAGTTTGCAGTCCTCAAGTACATTAAGCTCTTCTTGTTTTGGCACTGGGTGACCCGGCATTGGAATAGCCATCACAACACCATCTGCTTCCTGAGAAGAAAAGGATACCAACATTTCAAGGTTACCATTCCTTACAGGTCTGTTTGGAACTCGTAAAATGATAGGGAAAGAAATAGAGAGTAAAACACGGGACATTGAGAAGGAAAAATGTGGAGTGGGATGAAACATTGAGTCAAACTTAATATACTACTCATTTTATTTTATGCACTTCTATAGAAAGTTTAAGAAATTTAATCTCATTTTACATTTTTTAAAAACAAATTTCATTTTCCTAGGTAAAACCAATCACAAGAAAATTGCTTTTGATGGGATTTCTTTTTCCTTTTCCTAGCATTTTCATGGATCCAACATACTGTATGGAATCTGGAAAATACAAAGGAACAGTAAGAGAAACCATAAAAGATAACTGGAAGAAAATGTGTGGGGTAAAACAATAGATTCGTTTTTTATGTATTTGTTGACAGTTGACACTCATTTTGCTTATTACGGAGTAATATAAATTATACTCCTAGATATGAAGACCGAGAAATCTAAATCTAAATTCATGTGAAAATTAATCATATTTTGTTTTCTTTTGCATTTTCTATGCATTTTTCTTTTCACTATCACTTTCTGGGATCCAAAAAGACCTTAAGGCGAAAGTATATGAAGAAATTTGATTACCACAGCTGGAAATATTCGTTTTAAACTTTCAGCAGCTGCTTCTGCCTTAAATTTACCCCCACTCAAGCAGTCATCCAGTATGTAAAGAGATTGCCTCAAAGGATTTGACATTGAGACCTTTCCACTGTCAAGCATTGTAATTTTTCGGACACCCCATGCCTGCAAAACAAGAAACAACCCAACTTGTTCAATATGTAGTCACACAGCAAGGCCCACCCCCTGTGCATTTGGTGTGAATACTCACCATAAGCATTCTAGCAACTTGGCATCCAAGTGTGCCTGCTCCCAGTAGAAGACACTTAGTAGCAGACAATAGGTTAACATTTAGCGAAGGCAATGCACGCCATCTCATCAGCTTTAAGTTCAAATCTGCAGCAGAAATTGCCAGCCTAGAAATGTGCAAAAAACAAATCTGAGATGACATATAGTCCAGTGCATAATGACATTTGCAAGATCATTTGTGCAGACCTTGTTGGATCCATAGTTTCGGCAAGGGTAATACATCTAGAAGCCATCTTCCCTTTGTTGGTCTCCCATCCCACAACTTTAGGAATAATTTGATGATCCCTCCATCCTATTTATGAAAATACCAAAAAGCAAAGCTATGTTTGGAACTCACAAAATGGTAGGAAAACAAAACTAACGAAAATGTTTAGATTAATGTATAGTTTTACCTTTGAAGGATTAGTATAACCAATACCTAAATAATTTTGTGTTGAAGATTTTTTGAATTTTCCCCTATATTTTCTATATTTACAAATATCCCTCCTATTTTCTTCCCCTTAGCCTTTTCCAAGTGCCAAACGACTACTATGGTTTATGGAAAGTGAAACCAACCACTTTCTGCCGCTACCTTGGGAAACAGATATCAGTGCTTCTCCAACAAGGGACAATCCTAGATCTGCAAAGCCACGGCTCTCTCTGTAGCAGAAAAATTTAGCCTTTTCAAGTCCCCATCTTGCAGAAATATAAGCAAGATAATTTCGTAGTGGCCAGCCGGGATTACTTGGAAGGTTACAAGGGTCATAAAAACCAAAAATAACCTGGCAGGCAAAGAAACTTCTATCAAAGAGAACTTGAAATGCAATAAAATTTCATTTTGCGAGATAAGTCTAAATTATCTACTGAAATCATTTTGTATTCATACACAATGCAATTTTTATTCGATTGCTCAATTTGACTAAAAGAGTTAAATTAGATGAATATTCTGCAATTTTTATTCAATTGCAACTTATTTTCTTCACAACCTATCTCTCCAATTTTGAGAGATAAGAAATTAGAATTGCTTATTCATTTTTTCTTTACACTCTCCGTATTTTACAACAATCAAAACAAGAGAGAGAGAAACACATATAAGGAAAACTTATTTTCCTTTCCCCGTCCCGCATGAAGCATACATTTACACAATTTTTTGGTATTTTCACATAAATGTATTCTGAAATTTTTATCAAGCTCATACGAAATAAAGTATTACTCCCTCCGTCCTATATCTTTCTTCCCAGTTCGCAAAACGAAGAAAAATCCCAAGTTTTTTCAATCTATTTTATTTAAATATTGGTATAGAAATAAAAAATAAAACATACATATTTAAAAACTACATCAAAAGTTCAACAAAACAAGTGGTGACAAGAATATTTTATTTTATCATATAGGCCATGAAAAAACACAAATAAATATAAATTCCCGTGAAGTTGGAATAGTGCTCTGGGAAGAAAGTTTTAGGACGGAGGGAGTAACACTTTCAAGGTCGAGATATTATGAACAGACCTCATGACCCTCATTTCTACAAGCTTCCCAATCCCTCAGATGCCTTATAGTGATATTAGAATCAGATGCAATGGACACCAGAAAAAATGGAACATCTGCAATTAACTCACTTGTTTAGTATCCAGCGATCATAGTGTTAGCAATAAATAAATATTTATACCTGATATGGAGCCTGACTTACGCCAAACATTGCACGCAGCTGACAAGTATTCAGCCTAAAATCCAAAAAAGAAAAAAATGTCAAAATGAGATCTATTTCTGTAAACCAACAAGAGCCTGTTAGTAGCCAAACATAGCAAACAGTGAAAAAGAAGAAACATTTTTCATACCACTATTTCAGCCATATAATAATTCAAAACAAACAGGCTATGAACGAAAAATATATCCATAAACACAGAACCTCTTTGTGGTTGAAGCACTGTGAAGCTGGCTTCAAAGAAACTAATGTTGCAGGAGGATCAAGAACAAGAGCTGGGTAAGCAAGCCAGTAGTGGAAGCTCCACTTCTTCAAGTCTGCAAATGATATAATAATGAATCTCAAAAGTAGCGCACTATCTTCCTCTACTTTGCCCGAGTGAATGTCATCCCATATCTGATTCGGCAGTAAAAAATGAAACATCAACTACCCATTTAATAATCCCAGTGCAAAAATGACCTTTCCACATAACCTAAAGTCACCATAACCTACTATCTTCTTATCGGTTTACTACCAAACACGGTTAAACATGCAATATTCAAAGTTGAATAATTGAATAAACCTTTTTCGCTTCTGTCTTTATTAGGCTTTGCTTGTCAAGAGCACGGAAGGCCTCCAATGTGTTCGTGTTGTAAAGGGTGCCAGGTACAGGGCAACGATTTCTATTCCCCTGACTTCTCTGATGCGACAAGTTTTCTCCACGCTCGGGAGGCAACGATTCAGCAAGAAGTGTCAAGTGATTAGCAACTTGATGGTGTGAGCAGGGTGCATAGAAACCTGACAATAAACCATCCAAATTGGCTTATCACAAAGACTCATCAATTTTTCTGATCACTGGAGAATGAATAAATTAAAGAAGCTCAAAACATTATCACAGAAACCTTAAAGATTAGTTCAGATAGATGGTTTTGGATGGAAGGCTTTAGAAGTCTAGTCTATATTTTGATAAATAGAATTTTTCTTGCAATAAAGTAATTATGACTAAAATGCTACATGATCATCAATTATTTACTCCTCAAACTTTAATAAAATCTTCTTAAGAAGTTTAGTTTATATTTTGATAAATAGAATGTTTCTAAGAACAAGTAAATTATGACTGAAATAATATAAGATCACCTATAATTAATTCTTTAATTATAGAAAGTATATATACTAAGCCTCCAGAGCCTTCCAACCAAATCCAAACTTGAATATCACCCTAAGAAGACTAATTTTTTAAAAATGAAAAAGTTAGTGAACACAGCCTGCATCCCTCAGGAAGCAAGCGAACATAAAATTAGCTCCATAATTGCTCTATCCAACAAAAAAGTGGCATAATTTCACCTCACCAGAAGTGAATCAAGTTTGATTAAGCTTTGAACAGTTCGTTGAGATTCGAAATCAAACATTATTACTATAATAGAACGAAGAGCAGAGGAGAGAGTTCGATCGGATCAAAGAAGTAGAGCGAAGCGTGCCTGTGATTGGAATGGGGGAATCGTCGAGGCCCAAGTGGTTGAGCTTGAGCGAGGAGAATCTGTGCCAGAAACCCGCATCTACAAGGCTTTGAAATGGCAGGAATTGAAGAACACTGTTTGTCTTCTTCGCTTCGTCGTCCTCATTCATACCTCCTCTATTCTCCTCTCTCCTATACGGAACGGGAGGAGTATTACCCAACAGAATGATATGACTCGCAGTTGAACTCAGTCCGTCACTCATCCATCTCAACTCTTTGAAGTTAATTTTGACTTCGTAGTAAATTTTGACTTCAAGATCAAAATTAATTTGTGAGTGCAATGGAAGAGGACTATGAGAATGTGTCCTGGTCGAGATAGAGTTATTGGTTTAGTGGAGGGGTTAGGACTTAGGAATAGTAATCTTCAATTTTACGAACGGGACACCGTAATAATTTCTAGTCATCCTATAATATTGCTGGACAATATCACATGAACCACTTCGTTTGTAAATAAGGAGCAAATTTTTCTTTTCTTTACTCTAATACTGTCCAAAAATTAATCAAAAAATTGATGTTGGATACATCTAATTTTTTGATAAGAACTGTCAGATATCTCTAATTGTTAAAAGAGTAAATTCTCAATGATCCCTTGTAATAACATATTTTCCCAATTCAGTCCTCAATAAGTTATAATTACATACGTGGTCCTTTATAATTGAAATTTATTTTCCATGTAGTTCTTTGTAAATAATGTTACTTAAATGATGATCAATTTAAAGTTATTTTGGCAATTCTATCATTTAAACTTATAGTATATTCTCAAAATGGTAAATTCTATGCAATTAAATGTAAAAATAAAAAATACATTGACTATACATAATTCATGAATTACTAAAAACTGTACACAAAATCTTTTAAAATCTGAATCAAATACACATCTTTAATTAGAAAAAATCATTTTGGAAAAGTGCTTCATTAGATATGACCATTCTAAGAACTTATTCTAAATTTAGTTGATAAAAAACTAAAATACCCTCATAGTTAATCATTATTTGATTAACATTATTTACGAAGACTATCTAGAAAATAAATTTTAATTATAGAAGATCACATAGAGACCACATAGATAATTAAAAATTATTGAAGATTAATTTAGGAAAACATCTTATTACAAAGAATAAGTTCATTATGCAAATCTTAAGGCTCTCTTTCATACATGGAAATGTAATTGAATTAGAACTAAAATTCCATATGGAGTAGAATGGAATGTGATGAAATTCAATTATAAATCTTTTGTTTGGTAAATTAAGGAATTGATAGCAAATCTTTTGTTTGATAATGCAAAATTGTATATAAAATTGATATGAATTTATATTATGATTCCAAATCTACATCCACATATTTTTGTGCTACCAAATCCACAATTTTTGGAAATTGATATGAAAAGAATCTAAAACTAAAATTTAATTTCAAATCCACGTACTTCTCTACTATCAAACAACATAATTAGAAATGAAGTCTCCAATTCTAATTTTATAACTTAAATTATGTGTATCAAACAACATAATTAGAAACGAAGTCTCCAATTCTAATTTTATAACCTGAATCATGTGTATCAAACGGAGCCTAACACTATGCTTGGTTTAAGAATTTTGAGAGAAGAAAAAAATATGATAACATTTTTTCATATTTAGTCAGAGAGGAAAATTAAAAAAAATAGGTTAAGAAAAAGAAAACCCAAATTCTTTCTATTTTAGTAAAGAAAATGAAAGAAATCATTTTTTTCTTCCAATCTTCCTGAATTCTTCAAAACCAAACATAGAGAAAGAAGCTAATTTCAAGGGACCCCTGCTCCACAAACACAGAAACATAAGCTAAGACGCAAACAAAGGAAGCACTTATAAGCCACATCCCAAAAAGAAACTTTTTCTTTTTGAATGGAAATGAGCAAATGTATTAAAAATTATATAAAAATAGGAGTTTTTTTATAAGCCACCTCGCAATCATACTATACAGCTTTAGCATATACAAAAAACAATCCATCCACAAGCACAAGAGACTACCTATCCAACCACCCCACCACCACATAGTGTGCCCATCTTCTTTCCTTCCTCTTTCAAGAAAATAATACTACACTTGCTCACTCCTGCATTCAAATTAAAAAAAACAGATTTTAAAAAAAATATTTAAATTAAAAAAAAAAAGAATGTCAAACTGTACATTTATAGGGGAATGGATCAAAGCACATAAAATATGAAGGATACCTTGCTCGAATAAACAGAGATGGCCACCCATTTGAACTCGTTCTTGTTTCGACAGAGGATGAGAGCATGGGTAGGAAGAATGAGAATGAGAGAGGGGACAAGTTAAAAAGCAGAGTCAAGAGGGTATATATGTAACTTTAGTCGATGCTCAACCTTCTATATGCCATATGATGTTTCATGTTTGATTGATAGACTGCCCGGTGTGTAAAGATTTCGCATTACCAGCAGCTCTGATATGAACATCACTTTTCCACCCGAATAACAGTACTTTGCAGCTACACAAACTCAAAGAGAACTTTTTCTCTTTTGGTGTTTGTGTGCGTGCGGGAGGGGGGTGGGGTGGGGGGTCTGGGGAGCATATAAGATTAACGTACAAAAGGAGAGAAAAAGTTGACAAAAAAGAATTTGGGAGGGGGTGGGATGGGGGGGGGAGTTCATAGCAACTGGGCCAAGCAAAGTTTGAGAAAATGAAGAACGGAGAATGGAAAATAGGAGAGAATACATTGGTTTTCCTCTTGTTGTGCTGAGCTGCCGATGTGTAAAGTGTGAGAAAATGGTGCTACAATGGGGCTTTCCGGGGCCCATCCTGAGATGATACAACCTTGTTTGATAACCTGCGCTTGTAGCGTTTCAGAACTGAAGCCAGATTCTCTTTCCCTTTGGGAAATGCCACGTCACCAGCTGCAGTTCCGGTTCTACCCTTTCGACTAGAGATGGAAATTTCAATATCTTTTATCAACTCTAAGAGCATTGGCGCTGTCGTGCATTTTCCACGGCTCTGTTTTGCAGGCAGTGCCAGACTCCCGTTTAAATGCCGCTGTTGGTGGCCAACCGGAATTTGAAGACAAAAGCAGGGAGTCATGGGTGAATGGGGCTTGAAGAATGCTAAATCAATTATTCCCTGCAGTTATAATCATAAGAATTATTATTGTCATTATACCCAGATTATGTAGTTATAAACATGTAAAGACTCACATACAAATATAATACTCTGCTAGTTGGATCAATCAAGGCTAACTTTTCATGCACTTTGCCAAGAAAAAAAAAAGAGGAAAAGGGTTACAGATAAACTACCCATGATAAATTTAGTTAAACCTACAAATTAATTTAAAAACTGCCCGTGGATATAAGTATCATTCATGATTCACCCTCTCCCCCCCCCCCCCAAAAAAAAAGAGTCATATTGCCAACACTCCTTTTGTCCCTAACAGCAAATCCAGAATGATCAAACAAAGGTAATTTATCATAAATTTGTCAAAAGACAAGTTACTATCCAATAAATTTTAAAAAATATGAGTATGATTAAGGACTGTTGCACATTATCAAAATTTAAAAGTTGTACAGTCATCAAACTTGAGTTTTTTAGGGAAGTAATGCAATTTTAGAAAGCCATACATATAAGCTCTGAACAAGGTGTGGTGGGAAATTTTACCTGGAGACGATTGAGTACATACGTGTATTTACCCCAAAGCTCTGGCCGGCTTTCCATAAGTGAAAGCTCAAGAATCCTGTGAATGCACCAAATTCCAAAGCTTACAATCAGATCCATTTTCCAAACACATCCTTCTCCACAATGAGGAACTGACATCACCAAGAACTTGGCTGAATCTGCAGAGCCAATTTTGTTGTTAATAGGTTGAGTTTCCCCACCACCACTGCCGTAAGACAGCCTACCCCCCACCTCCCTAGTTTCAGCTTCGTATAAAAACCTTTCCCTTGCAGAAACATGAGATATGAGATCCTCATCGGCTCCATCATCTTGTTTAAACAGCCAATCAGAACCTTCAAGCTTCAGAAGCTTCAACATACAACTCCTGAAGGACTGAAGTAGTTTTGCCTCTGAATTCAGTACGGATGATGTTTCTTGTGTAGATGAATTCTGCATAGCTCCCAGACCATCAGTGCCGAAACTACCACTCTTATCCACACCAAATTGCTCAAAGGGTTGCGTTGACCAGAGGGACACACCACAGTTCCCAGGGTTCGAACTGATTTGCAACGAAAATGCATCTCTACACACTTTGGAAGGAGAAAGCTGGTCGAATCCTGGAGGGCGACATGCCGTCTGTGAAGTGCGCGAGTAGGCTTGGCCATATAATGATTGGCCGTATCCTACTGGAGTATCCAACCTGTGTGACTGTGAAGAGCTGCGATTGGGTACATAGAGCCCTGATATGTCTGGCAAGCTATAATATTTCTTTGGAGTTGTGTTTGCTGCACTCTGACCATTGCCAGTAAGGGAGTAGAGATCGTTTAAAAAATTCCCTGATTGCCCCAATGAATTGTTTCTGGATGCAGAGACATTTGTGAAGCCAGGAGGTCCCCTAGTACTAGAGATGTTCTGTGGTTTTTGCCTGTAAACACCACCAGAAGCATATGGATCCACATAGTTCGATTTTGGAATTGGTGAAGAGTCCATATGACCATTCAAGTAATCAGCATACCTTTCTTTGGAGATTTGGCTAAGGTATGACGACAATTCATATCCATGAACTGTGGCAGGCTGTGGGTCATAGCTTGCAGACGAAGCTGGAATGCGCATACTGGAATATCGCCTCTCACTAGCCTCCAGAGAATTGTTGTTATTATTATGGGTTGAGTTCTGTGCGTTGTATGCATCTAACAATTTCATGTGACTAAGCCGCAAAGAAGATGGCTCCTTAGCTCCATAGGGTAATTCCCTACTCATTTGTTTGGGAGAGTATATATCCGAATTCATCAATGAATCGGATAAATTTGCATTAATGTCCTTCCGAATACTCTCCAGTTTCAGTGATCCTGAAGGAGGTTTTGAATCTGTCTTTGAATCAACAACACCCAACAATACATCCACTTTATTTGATTTTGCTTCAGGTATCACCTGCCCGTGAAAATCAAATAGCTGCCCCCAAAACTCATCAAGAATCGTTGTTAACTGACGTCTTGCCGCACGACCAAGTCCTGCTAATCTTGATAAACTTCCAGTTCCACTCCCTAAATCATCAGTCATTCCACTGATATTCTTCAATGATCCCGGGCTGTCAAGAGTAGAAATTTGATTCTCATTCACAAACATCTCTTTCGGTGTTGCCACTTCAGGCTCCCAAGAATCTTTTTCATA